TTTTAAGTTTTATTTAACTATTATATATTTTATATTAAATTTAATGTGCTCTTGTAATATACAGGTTGTCTCAAAAGTTGCTTTGTACAAAAAGAGAAAAAAAAAACGAACAACTAATATTGGTTAATTAAAGAATTACAATATTGCATTTTTTGTTTCAAGTCATGTATTTCTAGTTAAATATTAGTAAAAAAGTATGGTTTTACGATGCTGTTGCTTCAAATATTTAATGGAAAAACATTGTATAATTTTTCAGTTTGTTAAAGCAATTTTTTGAGTATCCTGTATATATATATATATATTGTTGTTTGTTTATATTTTGATTTGAAAATTACTTTTATTTATACAGATTTGAGAAGTATTATTAATATAAATATTTAATAATTAAAGTGAGAGATTTTTTAATCTTTAACTCTGACATAAATGAATATATATTAAATTATATTATAATTGTATCGAAGTAACAGAAAATTGTTTGTCAATTTATTTATATTTTACCTTTTTATATATAAACTTCATCGAACTGTGCATTTTATTTCAAGAATTAATCTACTCTTGTAATGTACAGTGCGCATCAATTATTCTGTCCACCTTGAATATTTATCTATTCTTTACAATCATATTAAAAAAAAAAACTTCGAAAAATAAAATTGTACTATTGCAGGGGAGAGAATCTAATAGTATGTTTTTGAAATGAAAACTTCTTTAGAATGGGGATGATTTGAAAAAATGAAACACTGCAACGATGCAGCGCAACGATGCAGCGGCGATGAAACGTAAGTAAGAAGAGAAAAAGAGATCTGTTGGGACAGCATTTTTTTTTCAGTCCAAACTGTTTATACACGCATGTATTACGGGTTGCCTATCTTTCGGGCAGAAAAAAATTCCGTCCCAACAGATGGCTCTCGCAAGCAACATTTTCAAAGTATGTCTGGAGGGTTGCATTCCTATAGGCGCGCATTTTTCTAATTATTAAATAAATAATTAGAAAAAAGGTACAAAATAATATTATAATAATATTATATAATAAACTATCCTACTTCTGATAGGTTTCACCTCTAACTTGTGTGATCTGCATAAATGTTTTTTTTTTTCTTCAAAGCCGTATAAAATTGAAAAAAATTTTTATTCTAAAGATGTTTGAAATATTATTTTGTAGAATATGTACACACGTCATTTGCTTTTAATTATTTCAATCTATTCAGCCTTGTTTTAATTTTATTTATTAAAAATTGGCACGAACTTTTCGGGGACACACAACCCAATATTATATGATAAAAAGTATTGCATGATTATACTTCTGCAACTTTGCCAAATATGCTTGATAAGGGAGTTCCTAATACATCTTTTGGTAATCTTGGTACTAGACCTTTCATGGAAGCCCATTGACCCTCGCAAAGTTCATGAAACGTTAATCGCAATAACAATTTTCCTCCCATAGTACCAGGACCTCTACATATCACTCCAGCTCCAAATTCCCAGGATTTTGAATTGTCACCGATATTCATTTCCCCTATACTAGTACTATTTGTAATGATTAAATATCTCCTTTGTAACCACGTTGCCAGATAAGCAGCTGAACAGTCACAATGCCAAGGATTTCGTTCTAATCGAAGCTGTCGTATAGTTACTAAACCATCGAGAATTCTTGCTGGTAAATAGGACAGATAATTAGCCTCAAGTAACCTAAAAGTCAATACTCATTTATATACTTTATTTATTTTTCAATTGTAATAGATATAGTAGAACGAAATTACTCACAATTTTCTTAGATTCGGAGTGTCCTTGAATAATTCTGGATGCAATAGTCTTAAACGATTGGAATGTAGAAAAAGTGAAGTTAGATTGTTTAATCCACGAAACGTGTTTTTTGATAGGACTTCTATACTGTTGGCGTATAGAACCAACCTTTCCAAAGACATGACACTATCGAATAATCCTGGTGTCAATGTTTTGATAGAATTTTGTCCTAATTGAAGTTCTTTCAGTGATACTAATCCATCAAATGCCAAAGGATTAATCTGTTAACGGTAAATGATTATTAATTTGAGTGTAAAAGAACATACTATTGTAGTTATTATACAGAAAGTTCATTGGTTTTTCACATTAGCGCAGATACTAGTTTGAAATTAATACTGAATGAGAACATTCAAGGTTTTGGCTGATTGAAAAGATCTTTTTTTAAACAATACGTTCATTCATAATTGCTTATGTTCAATTGAAAGTCGTTTAATAAGTTGAGTCTAATACTTAGAAGAATATTTTTTTAAGGAAAAATAAATTATTTACATTAAATATTTACATGAGTCAGTCGATTGCCTGATAGTTCGAGCGTTAGCAATTGTTCAAGTGAGGAAAACAATTTATTTGGTATTTCAGTCAATAAATTTCCTCTCAAATTTAATTCCTCCAATGAAATTTGTTGATGAAAAATGTCAGCTGGTAATTTGCCCAATCGATTATTGTCGAGTTTTAAACACTTTGTATTAATTAAATCACGAAAAACGCCACTTTGAAGGGTGGTAAGACGATTATGTGAAAGTAGAAGTTCTTCCAAGGTTTTTAATCCATGAAAAGTGCCATTTGGTAAATACGATATAAGATTGTTGGAAAAATCGAGCAATACTAAGACACTATTAGCTATGAAAAGACTCTCTGGTAAAGTTTGCAATCTGTTCGATGATGCGTCACTGGTGAACAAAAAAAAAAATCAAAAAAAGAAAACCATATGAATGTTAGAACATTCAAATTGTATTATTATATTAAATGATTCAATAACTATTGTCACCTTAAACTTAAATATCTGATAAACAGGGATAGTTTGCATGTATTTTTTTTTTTTTGGATTAATTCTCATTGTATTGGAAAATGCATTTTTTTTTTTTTTTGGAATATCGTCGATAAACTTATCGAACTCACAGAATACGCAGATTCCGCACTTTAACAAATTGATTTTGATGCAGTTCCCTCAACAAGTTCTTGCTAATTCTTAGATGTATTGCACTGTGCAAGGAAAAAAAAAGGTTCAGTGGTAGATGCTCGATGTAGTTACCGCTCAAATCTCTGTAAAGCTTAAATCTCGTTTATTCCAGCTCTGCGATTACATCTGATTAATTGTATCTTATGTTTAATACTCACAATTGATTTAGTTGAGTCATATCCAAGAAAGTATCTCTGTGTAGTGCCGTCATTTGATTACTTCCCAAATCCCTAAAACATAAGATGTTTAATCGACAATTTTTGTATACTAATGAAATGATATTTGTCAATATTAAAATCCTTTACAATTTTAAAATATCATTAGGAACCACTTGGGAAGGTGGGACGTCAAGTAATCCATATCTCCAACAGGAAAGAGATTTAGTTTCTGGTACACACTTACACGGTCCTTCTGCACAAATTTCCCAATCCTCGTGCGTTGTACCGATTTGCCAAACTGAAGTCAATCGTAAATAAACGATGATAATAATAAACAACAAAAGAACATTTTAATAATTAACAAGTTATTATTTTATCTAATAACTATAAATACGAACAAAGCTAAACGTAAGAGAAAGAGTAGGAAAAGTGGGGATAATGATGAAGCAGGTATTAGAGGGTAATAGGGAAAAGAAAATTTGGGAAAAGACTAGAAGAGAAGAATGTGGCTGTTTTTTTAGTATCAACGGTAATTGGATATGGAACAGAGATATGGGGATGGGAAGAATAACCGAGGGTTGTAGCGATGGAAGAGATGCTCATTAGGTGAATGAACACTGAGGGTGAATAAAGAGGAGAAGAAAAGGGATAAAATATGGGTTAAGTGCAGGAAGGAGGACAGGAAGGCATGAGGATAAGCTGAAAAATGGAGAGGGAAGCGAGCTTGCAATGACCTGCTGGGAAGTAATAAAAGAATCAGAGGGAGAAAGGTGGAATCATATGACTCGTTCAACTGTCGACCATTTTTACTATTTTGCAAATCTTTGACAGCAATTTTCAGTACTAAATTGAATAAAAGTTTATTCCTAATTTTCTTTAAACTTCGACCATTTTATCCCGTTTTATTGAATCGTACGCTTTTGGAAAATCGATATAAAGTTGGTGTATGATTAAATTCTCATTTTTTTCTTGAAGATCTGCCGAATAGTCAAGATTTGGTCTATAGTCGATCTATTTCTCCTAAAACCACACTGGTGATCCTCCAATATCTCGTCCACATACGATACTTTAACATTTTAAGGGTTAAAAGTACAAATATATATAAAAATATAATATATTATTAAAAATACAGATCACAGTACAAACATTTCGAAAACTAATTGTATAATTTTTGAGAAAACGTACGATAGATGATATGTCATGCCATTTACAACAATTTCATTGTGCATTTTTTCAAACAATTATTTTTAAAAACCTTATTTATTATAACACGTTTTTTTGAAAAATTATTAACTACTTATAGAAGATTTATTATTGTTATCTTTATTTTAATTGGTTTAATTTAATGGAATGAAAGAAATTAGATTAAAAAGTACATTTAGTCTCACCTGGTTGTTCAACAGCCCTTAATCTTCTTTCAAGACTGGACAATCGACTTTCGATATCTTTGAGAAGAATATTCGAACTTTTAGACGTATGAGAAAGATCAGGATCCGTACAAGTATTCCAATTTTGCGGACAACCGCTTGTTTTACAGTATAATAACAAGTTAAACATATGAAGAATCTTGAAGAGTGTAAAGACCATTTTTACGAGAGACGATCCACGCGACATTGTTGCGAGGACAAAGAATGAGCCTTTAAAGATAGTGCTTCATCATCATCCATCATTGTGTATGTCACATCCTCATTAAAGTGTTTATTAATAAGAGAGGTAAACATTCGTTACGTTGGTGATTGACAGACAATAGGATTAAATAAGCACGGATATAATCGTTGATGCTTGTCAAAATAATCATCATTTTAAAAAATAATTTGTTTATGATACTGATCATACTCTTACTATATTCTAATTACAGTAGACTATCATATAACGTCAGTTATCATAAATAATTCATAAAGCATTACATGTCGAATATGCACTTTTTACTATCCAATTTCAGTGGTTAAGAAAAACGGTTAAATGTAACATTGACTACATAAAGAACACATGTGTGTAGATCACACGTGTTACAAGTGAAATCTTCAAAAAACTAAGACGAATACAAAATATCTGCTGTAGGATAATTGTATTCTCTTCTTATTTAGTATCGCGGCCGTTTCATTGCCTCCCACCGCTCCGTTACATAGCCGCCTAACCGTTTCGTTACATTTTTTGAAATTACACTCATTCTAAAGAAGTTTTTACTTCAAAAAGTTGACAGAAGACTAACTGAGCCCTCATCTATACAGTGATATCGAAAATTCGTTTGTTTCGGTGACTTATAATAGGTAAATACGAAAAATAGATTCTACATAGTCGCATCGGAAGTTACTTATGACTCGACCTAATATATCTTATCCATAGACGAGCCACATTGATAACTTATAGATAATATAAAATTTGTATCGTTTCATATTGGAATTATATATTATTTATTTTAGATATACATATTATATGACATAAGTTGATAACTACGAATACATACCGTCAACAAATAATAATGACAGCATTGATGAAATTTATAAATCTTATAAAGAAGTATAAGCCCAGAAAACAAGTTAAATAGTAATAGTAAATTTAAGGCGTTGGCCAATATTGAAATAAACTAAATGACATGTCCAGTTATCCTTATTTTATGACAATCTTACTCCATTAACTCCTGTACATTCGCCTCTGCTTTTCATAACCAATTCTGTTGATAATGAAAAAAGAAAATAAATTTGTTAGTTTAGTCCAATTATTATGGTGGTTATTAGTAATTAAAATTTATATAACTTAAAAATCAATTATTTGTATTCAATTTTCAATCTTTTTCTATTTTACTAAATCCTGATTTTCTTAAGGTCTCCTATGTCAGATTTGAATAAGTGTTCACCTTGCAAAAGAGTTATAGTTTATTTTTTCTTAAACACTTGTTAATAATTACAAGTGAATTAATGGTTTGTCTGTTTATGAAATGTTTTGAACCTTAGAAGAAGAAAACAAAACAACAATAGATAAATAACATTCATAATAAACTCACTCGATCCTGTTTCGCAGTTGTGAACTTCCATATCACATTCAGTACAAAAGTCCCAAGATCTACCATAAGAATCAGAAGGATCGTAAGCACAAATAGGATCATATGGGCCGCAATCTTTAGCACATTCTTTCTTGTTTTTTTTCGCTTCCTTAGCGGCCTTTATAGCATCCTTTACATCTTTAGACGCCGTGGCACTTTCCTTTATTTCTTTCGGCTCTTTTATTTCTTTTAATGAAACTTTCTTCGTATCGTTAGGAAAACCCTCCGTTCGTTCAGTGAACCCGAACAGAATGGTGAATGCAAGTACTGATTAAATAATAACAATATGAGGATATGTAATATGTAATAGATGTGGATATTTCAAAAATAAACATGCAACAAGTAATCTTTTGTTTTTCAACTTGTGACATTGCTTAAAATATGATACTTTCAGTTAATGGTAGTCTTTTCGTATTTTTTTAAAGTATTATATATACCCCAAATGAATGTAGAATATTAAATTTTAACCAGTTAAGTGTCAAATCTTTGAATTGGGGTGATTGGGAAATCGTGAAACGGAAGAGCATGAAACACGATGAAACGGAAATACGTTATAACAAAAAAAAACACAGATGTGTGTAGATCACACACGGTAGAAGTAAAACCTTCAAAGAAAATCAAGCTTCGAAATAATTGAATTGTAATACAACGCCATCTATTGAAAGAACGTTAGAGAACCTGGATAACCTCTAAATAAAAATCTTTAAATTAGTAATAAAAAAATACATAAAAATAGATAAAAATTGTGCTATGTGCTAAGTTGGAAGAAATCACGCTTGAAATAAAATTAATTTCATTAAGATAAGTTGAGTAGTTTTGGAATTATTAGTGGATAAACATATTGTGACACTGAATTTTTCTATATAGAATTTAATTAATTAATTAATTAATATATAGAATTAAATAATAAAATATTAAATAAGTAAATATAATATATCCTTTTTCTAAAACTCAGGTATCTGTAAACCTTTCTGTGAATTTGACATATCTTTATCATTGATCAACATAATCATGTAGTTTTCGTTGCAATTAATTCCTTTAGATGTTTCGACAAAGAACAAAACAATTTAAGTCGTATTTTTTAAAGGCATAAAACGTATCATTCATTTTATTATAGGAAACATATATTTTTTGGCATGGATTTACTTTATTTAGGTACAAACAAATTTTTAAAGGACATATCTATTGTGTAAAAATGAAATTGGGTCTTCATTATTTTTTTTTTTTTTGGTATCTACGTATCTACTTTCAATATACAAAAAGACTTTCATCAATTCAAAGCATCCTATTGGAAACAGGAAAAGATATTAGCGATAAATTTTGTTGTCATAAAATATATTTCGTTAATGTCTTGATATTACGTAAAAGCATTGAAGATGATATATAGCATCGAAAGGAAGAAGAGCTATATGGCCTTAATTCGTATCTAGTTTTATTGAATGATTGCTCCTTCATTGAAATCAAGGATCATCTTAGATCGAGATCATCACAACTGCTTTTGTACGGCCTGATTAGTAAAGTCACTTTACTCAAGGACTTTTACTGATCGACTCATTCTTCTTGCCTTTGAGGCACCGTTCACATGATAAAAGCGATAGAAAACAACCGAGATTAAATGTCAGTAGATAATCATTTTACGAAACGTAATTAAGAAAGAACTTTTGGAATAAAATCGATTGAATAAATTAAATAATATATTATTATTTATTAAAGGAAACTCTATTTTCTAACTGTCTGTAAATCGTTGATTATTTTTACAATTATGTATATGATTTTCAGTTTTTATATGAAATCAATTTTTATTGAAATTAATATCTATTGTAATTAAATTTTATAATTAAATGAATTGAATTATTGCAATACGATATAAGCTTAGCAAAATGCAAAGTTTTTAACAAGCTTCTCTTGTCAATCGACTCACCCAATAAAAAAACTAATTGCATCGTGTTTTCTTTCAATGGAGAGAGTTACTACTTCTCAAAAATAAGATGTTTATTATCCAATTCGGCTTACCGTTCCAGCTCACTTTCAGATGGGTTATTGAAATGAGACTGAGACGACTTTATACTCCGCTACGACATTTATAACCTAATCTCTGGAGTTATCCCCACCTGAAAAAGTTTGAGGTGATCACATCAAGACTGTCATTGAGCCTAACTACGCATAAAGCGTAATATGTAAAATGATATGGGAAGGATGATACTTCGTACTTAACTTTGCATTAATTAGTTGCTCAAATAACATAAAAATAAATTCAAGTAAAACTTGACTTTATTTCAGAATGATCTTAGAATTTCTTATTTATTGTTGACAATTAATGAGATCCGAGTGTGTCGGAATTTTATATTATTTTTAACACACACACACACACACACACATATACATATAGACGATGATGATCTATTTTATTGTGATTTCATAATAATTAAATAAATACATATAAATAAATAATTGAAAACTATAAATTAGGTACCATTGGCAATGATCAATTTCTTTTCTAACGATCAAGTTATGATTATTCATCGATTTGATAATCGCTTTGATTCAATAATTTCCTTCTCTCTTTCTTCTAATAAGTAACTTTTAAACAACTCTACGTAGTTCTTCCAAGATTCCTTATAAAATAACGCTCTTCGAAGAAGACACATTGTTGTTGTGCAATCCTCAGTGTTTTTAGCTTCATTTAACGTTGTATATTTCTCAACGGAGTTCATTACCATCTCAGTTAAAAGATTTTTGTCTGCGTTTGCTGAAAAAAAAAAGAAATTAAGACAAGAAACGAGAAGTTCGATATTACTGAATCGATATAGAATTATGTTAAAGATGAGTTTAGATACATCTTAATATATATAAATTACGTGTCACGTTGTTTGTCCACAATGGACTCCTAAACTACTGAACCGATTTTAATCAAATTTTGCAAATTATGTGCAGTTTTATCCAACTTGAAAGATAGGATAGTTTATATCTCAATTTATAATCGCAATATTATTTGTTTATTAACAAAGAGTCATGATTATCTCTGTTAGTTCGATAAGATTCTAACAGATACTATATTACTTTGATTAGCATAACCTTCGTTAACTAGAAAATAAATTCGTAAAACCACAAGATCAAGTATCATAACCGATTGAATTTACAGATTAACTTGTTCAGATTAGCTTGTTAATAATATTATGTAATGAAAAATGAGCGTGACTCATTAATTCGTCGGCGAGTAGAAGAAAAATACTTAGTATTACATTGAAAAAGATTGTAGACTTACACCAAAATAAATTACGACCTTCTTCCTCGGATTCATTTTTATCTGGCTTCTTGATAATCTCTAATTTAGGTATGAAAAGCAACAAACAAATCACGGCGATGAATTTGACAATCATCTTGAAGAGAACCAATTTCAACAGTATCTTTGCTATGGTAAAAGCATTCAATTTTAGAGCAAATGGCCAGGAAAAATCGATCTTAGGAAATTCTATCATAGATGAACTGGGATATCCGTAAGGTGTACCATAATCAATGGCTGAACTATCGTACCCTGAAAAGAAAAAAGAAAAATTCACTGTAATTATGTCTTTAAAAAGAAAAAAAAAAAGTAACACAAGAAACAAATGTTTTTCTACCGTTTGACCGTCCACTAAGATCTAATTAAATTATGGTCTATGTGTTAATGTAATGAAACCGTAAATGTTTATGCTCTTAAAATATGATTCAACATAATAATATAGTATTATATATGACATAGGAGTGCCCTGCCACGCGTTACTGTGGCCTATCTTTCAAGTTGAATGAAATTGCACACAGTGTGCAAAATTTGATTAAAATCGGTTCAGTAGTTTAAGAGTCCATTGCCAACAAACAACGTGACACGTAATTTATATATATATTAAGATAAGCACACACTCAAAAATTCTGTGAGATGTGTAATAATAATAGTTATTTGCTATTAAATACGCGAACTGTTAATAAGAACAAAATCTTCTATATTAGCTTAATTGATAGCGTTTATTAGATAAATTTAACTTGTGCGCCTAAACGTTATGACGTAATTAGAGTGCACTTAAATTTATTCTAATATTCAAATTAAACTTAAAATTATGATATAATAAATTAACATTTAGACCACAATTCAGTCAAAACCGTAAAACGGGAAAGTTTTAGTATCACTTTTTGTTGTAAATCGAAAAGAATTGTAAATAAACAAAAAGTACATCTCATTTCGGTAATACGCTACCTCTCTCCTCACCTTGTTGATGCGACAAGTACGAATTTCCTGCAGGTAACTCATCATATAGTTGAGGATGAGCAGATGCACCGTATTTGTTACTAGGTGGGCCATAAGCGCTTTGAGGTGGACCATAGGTGTTTTGAGGTGGACCATAAGCGCTTTGAGGTGGGCCATAAGTGGTTTGAAGATCACTAAGATAAGTAGAGTAATCTTTAAAGTTTACCGAAGACTGATCAGGCAGCGAGTAACTATCCGAACGTTTAGGGAAAAAGCTGTTAGAACTTGATGGACTATATAAATTTTTTGTCGCCTTTGTGGAACTTCCCAAACCATTTGGAGCACCGTATTCTGTCTCCGGTTTATAAACTGGTCCTTGAATGTACTCTCTTCTGTTTAGTTTCGATCTGACCGGCTTGACATCCACATGTACTACACCTTCCTTTGGATCTTTACTAGTGTGTGAGTGTTCTAGTGCTTCAAGATAAGTGTCCTTTTTAGGTAAAATTTTGACATTTCTTAAACTGTGTTGATTCCCGATCGATATTGACGTTAAAGGAATTCTTACTTTCTTTATATCTTTATTAATGTTTGGAGTATATGGAATCGAGTATTGTTCTGTTGTTATATCAATGTTAGATAATTGAATTGTTTGATTTTTCGTATCATGATCTTCAGAGTTCCTAGCCTCTGGCATTAAATTCGTTAGAGCGGATACGTTTCTATGATTAGATGGCACAATTTCAGTGTGTTCTAAAGAATTGACCGAGCCAATCAGAAGGTATATAATTCCAACTTTATAATAAATTCTCCATCGTTGTTCTTTTTTTGATAACATTTTGATACTTATTCTGGTTGACCTGTGAAAAGGGAATGTATCAATTGAAATTTGTTTAGCAGAGTAGTTAGTATTAATGTTCCCCTTGTCTTTCCATATTAGTAGGAAGTGGGATAGCAGGAGAATATAAAAGTGTCACGCGTAGGGGAGTCTTTAAGTGACGTTGATGTTTTCTTTCTGAATACAAATTAATTTACTAACCGTTGTGCATAGAAAATAAGTATAGCGGACCTTGTTCTTTTTTTGGAAAATAATTCGAAACAATTATATTTGTATATAGTTATCATATTAAAATAAAAACATGAACACATTTTTGAAAAGATGAAACACTTTAAAAAATAGTATATAATATGATATATATAAATATAGTATATAGTATATATTATTAAATAATATATTTAAATATAGTATATATAGCGTGACTAGAGTTATATAGCATAATATAAAGTACTATTATTTATAATAATCATAATATGAAGTACACTTTTCAGTAAATCAATTTATTTGCAGTGAATCGAAAAATAATAATAATTGAAAATGTATCTGTCAATATTTTATAATCCTAATCACTTGCTTTTTAGATGTATCAATTATGCATAATATAAGGTTAGCTAATAAACGTATTGCGATATTTTTTTAGATGTAAGTAAATAAATGGCAAAAATCACATAGATTAATAGGCTAATGTAATAATTAAAAACTGATGATCAGATGCCACATATGGAATTATTTATATACAAATTTTTTTTTGTTACATTCTATACTTTCTACGTTTTTATAAATCAAGATTGTTAATCAATTTTGTAGGTATATGTTAGAAATGATTGATCACAAATATCAATGAAAAAATATACAATAATCTCACCCTCGCACAATTATTTTCTTATATCACTCAATTGTTTCCAAAAAAAGATAAATGTGTTCGAGTGAAAAAAATAAAAAAAAATAAAAATAAAAAAACTGAGTGAAAACTAAACTGAATGAAAAAAAAAACTCACAAAAAATACTTCAAAGAGTCATTGTTCACTGCTCGATAAACGGTCGTGAATTAAAAATCATCACGTTCTGTTCGTCTATATAAGTCGGAGACACTTGGTAGGGGTAAAAACGTACCGTTTTATTAGGTTACTGGTTCCATCAGCGTACTTGTTATCGAACTTAAGCAGCTTTGTCATCTTCTATACAGACACATGTTCAAATTTTGTTCTGATTTCATTTTAGAAATGCTATACACGTTGATGTTTTTCCGATTGTCGAAGGATTTTTGCTTTTATTGCTAAACAGATAAAGGAACGAAAAAAAAAAAAAAAAACAAAAAACAAAAAGTTGTTTCTAAAAATAAAAATAAATATATATTCAACATTACACGTGACAATGAGAAAATTCCACTCGAAATTCCGTTCGACGAAAAATTGTTCAGTTGAAAGGTGTTGGTCGATTATTATGTACAGGACGATACTCTCAGTAACGGTCCTACCTATCTGTTGAACCCTCCCACATTTATCGATTCAGTGACATACTTACCTCTATTACTCCCATCATTTTGCAGTACTATTGTTTATAATTTGGATACCATCCGATTTGGTCAATGTTTCTCTTCATTAAGGATTAACAATTCAAATTGAAATATGTATGGCATTTTCAACAAGATTACGAAGTTTCTAGTTTTAAAAGAACATTCACTTAAAAGAAAACTCAAATTCCAAGAATACGTTGATTAAGAGATTTACATTTAAAAACAATTTTTTTTTTTTTAATGTGGTTTTGAAATAGCTTCAATTAAATGTTAAATTTATCACAAATTTTTCATATTTCGGCTATGTTTTGCTGATGGTTTGCCACGGTGTTCTGTTTTTTTCAATACTCTAGAAATTGTAATTTACATAGGTTTAATAAAAATCCATGAATCAGACAGAATCAAATGCTTTGTTCAAGTTGTTTAATTTTATGATGAGTTCATATTATATCTCATTGTTAGATTTTCTTTTTAAAAAGTGTTGTAAATTTCTGTGTAACTTATCCTATTTTAACCTTTTCGTTAATCAATAACGCTCAGTTTAGTTTCTAAGCAACCTATGTATGAGTTTAAATAAGAGAACACTCATCAAAACATTCTCTTTGTGAACTGTCTTGTACAACATAATTGTGAAACATGGATTATTCAATAACAGAAAGGAAGTATGTAAATCATTTAATATTATTTTCTAGTGTTTAAGATACTGAAATCTTAATATCTACATTTAGATGGGTAAAATTTGGAGAAATTCGTGATTTCGTGTTCGTTGGAAAAGATGTTCTTGCAACAGCTTCAGGTTTACACGTTCGTTTTTTCAACATGAACACGAGAGATAATAAAATTGAAACTTTCAACGATCAAACTAGAGGCTTTGGTGTCTCAACTTTATCAGGACATCCGGTAACAATTTTTTTCTAGTTCCCATTTAGATAAATTAATTTAGATAAATATTACCTCTGTTTTATAGCAAATCCATTTACCCATTCGTGTAAAACGGGTTGCATTTCTAATTTGATCGCATTCAAGTCAATCGTTACTGTCCAACTCATTTACGGTTTTTATAGTGATGCACATACCGCCTTCGTATTGAAATTTACCATTTTGAATAACTATTGATTTTAACTAATTTTAATTATGTGAAAAAGTATCTAAATTTAAATAATGAAGAGACAAGTGTAAAATTGATATTTATAAAGATTAATGATCTACTCTTTGTATTGCAATTATCTTTATCAGGAAATTTTGAGTAGTTCTTTCTTTTAAGAAAATTTACAACATGACTCGTTATGATCAAACAATAATACAATATATTACAATTAATATTGGATATAAAAACAACACAGATGGATAATACAGATTCGATTAAAAATCTCATATATAAAAGTATTAGTAATATTATTAGATGATTTACAATGATTCGATAAAATTATTGATTAGATCGAAAATCTTATCGTATAAACGTATTATAATTAATATAATTTTTGTCAAAATTAGTCATTTAAATAAATCGTATGATGACAATATAATTAACAAAATCACGAAACTGACATTTATAGACTATGCCGGTATTCTCCGTGGCAGATAAACATTCTAATCCTACCATTAGAGTATTCACTTATCCAAGAATTCAAAAAATATCATCTTGTATAAACATGGAAGAATCGAACGGGTATTTATCATGTACCTTTGCTGGTACAGATTATCTTTTAGGATTGACAAGTTTTCCAAATTTTCAACTTGTCCTTTGGCTATGGCAAACTGGAGATAAAATATTTGTAATCAAAACCGAACTGAAAGATCTTATTCAAACGATCGCGTAAGTATTCCTTTCAATAATTATTAATAAATAATCAAACTGTGCCTTTAATCTCTTAATATAATATAAATTACGTGTCACGTTGTTTGTCTGCAATGGACTTCTAAACTACTGAACCGATTTTAATCAAATTTTACACACTGTATGCAGTTTTATCTAACTTGAAAGATAGGATAGTTTATATCTCAATTTATAATCGGTATAAGGTAATTCGTTGACTTAAAGACGTGTGTATCGGACTGATTGTGAGCCACAGTAACGCGTGGTGAGGCACCCCTAGTATATATATATATGGAAATGTTTAATATCTTATTTATTAATTAATTTAATCAAATATAAAAAATATCTATACACATAAATAAAATTAGAGAAGTGAAACTTTCAACAAACTAATTTTCGAGGGAATAATTGTAGGATTTATTTATTATATTGCTACAATATATATGAAAGGGCCTCCCACAACCACCCACCACGGATTGCGAATCACCCCCTGCGAATAACAACAATTCTGTAGCGCCCACAACCATTCTGTATCATCGTAACTATTTTCTGTGGCATTACTATTTTACACTATTTTCTATAACGACACGTATTAGCATAATCATCCGCTTTTTAATAATAATCCTGTCTTGTTTATAATGTTATGTTTCTAGATGTTCACCATTTTCGCCTCACGCAATAGTGCAATTTGCATTAATCTCTGGTAAACTATCTGTTTATCGAATGTGCGTGAGTTCGAAGATAGTTACCTTATATCCGATAAAAATCAAATCTCAGGAAAATAAATTAACCTCTGTTTGCTGGACAATTGATGGTAATCTATTGTTTTGCGATGAATTTTGCAAAGTCTGGTCGATGAGTGCTGATGGTTGCAATCAGAACATTCTCATAGAAGGAAATTCAAAATTAAAAGCACACAAGGATCGTTTACCTTTCATCGTTACTTTTAAAGATGGTTTACTTCTCGTGAATACTCGACTAAATGAAATAGCAGTACGTTTTAATTAAAATGTAGTACAATTTCCTATAACGTGAATGATGCATTCTTCAGAATTTGTTTCTGAAGACATTTCTTGAAACAAACTGATCGAGCAAGATTTCTTTTCATAGTTTTATAGGAAATTATTCATTGAAGATTCGATAGAATCATGGCAAAAATTATGGTCTTTAAACAATAAGGAACACTCACTTCCTATTCGTGCAAAATCACATAATCAAAGGGAAAGTGTATTGGTTTATGATGAGAATGGACGAATCACGGAGATTAATGTTCTAAACGATCATGTTCCGCGTTTAGAAATACTTTATACAGATGACGTTAAATACAAAGAACTTTTAGCGATATCATCACGATCAACTTATTTCGCTGCTATCGATGAATTTCAATATTTAAACATTATTGATCCCTCTACAGGAAATATTGAGACTAAGCTCGCATTGAAATTACACGGTCAAGGTCAGTTCCATTTTATGACATTTTTTAAAATAACATAAATACATCATTATTTTTCTTATATATATTTCAGTCGTTTGTGCAAAGGCTCATCCCAAATTGCCAATCATTTTCACAAGCAGTATTACTGGCAATTGTTTGTTTATTGATGTCTTCACGAATACACCGAAAATTTTAACATGTTTCCATCTGCATACAATATCATTAGATAAAATGAAATTTTCTAGCGAAGGAAAATTGTTAGGAGTCGCAAATTCTCATGATGGACGTATTTTTATCATTGGCAAAAATTTAAACAAGGGTGACTCGAGCTTCGTCGGAATATTCATGAACAAAAATCAAATAAATGACTATGTAATAATAAATACTCATTCGTATATACCAGCTGTCTTAAAAGTTCTTGATCAAACGAAAAGAAGTCTTAAAAGGAGGTTATTTACTATAAAAAAATATCATGTGGGCAGATCACACGTGCTAGACGTGAAACCTTCGAAAAACTAAGTTTAGAAAGAATGAGAGAAAGTAGTGAGGTTTTTTCCGAAAAGTAGTGAGGTTTTTTCTCAAGCAATGCAAGTTATCTAATATCACTCATTTATTATGTTTCTAATAATTTTTGTAATTAACCTTCTATAGTCCTGGGTAACTTAAAAGTCACATCATCTGATACATCTAGGTTTGAATACGTTTAATTGAATGTTTTTTTTCTAAATTTGCAAAGTAAGTTTTAACAAGTAAGTTTCTCTATAGTGGTTATCAATTCTAACTTAACATATTGGAATAAGTGTTTCTAATATTTTTTGAAGTGAAAACTTCTTTATAATGGGTGTGATTTGAAAAAATTTAACCGAGCGGTACTCGGCTATGTATTCGAATCTTCGATTAATTCGAAGATCAGTAATTGCAAGTTCTCCTGAAGGAATACTTAGCGCGGCCATTAAAATTATTTGCTTGACTTTTCAGAAATTTATCCTTTTCTCAAATCATTTTTCGGTTGATTAATAACTTTTGAAACATCCAGTATGATTTTATTGTAAGATTTCAATTTAATTAGTCATATTTCACAGATAGCCGATTTTCTTATTTACGATCAAACAAATGATACCATTCAAATATTAATCCTTTTAATCACAAATAAGAGTGTTATGACAGGAAATAAATTGATTTTGTATGTATGTAAACTTAGAAACATTCTCGACAAGAAAATAGAATGTGTAATAGATCTACTAAATTCTTTTAAATCTTTACAGTATGGTTCAAACCGAAACATTGATATTATAGGTATACCATACTTGTCTAAACAATTACATAGAATGGAAATAAAGGTATAATAAGAGTATGTGGGCTAAATTATACAGAACATTACCAACTTTCAATAATGTAAAACTGAGTACATTTAATTTGTATTATTATTATTTTATTTTTTTTTTCACTATTATTTCTTACCAGGGCTATAAGTTGGCTAGACAGGACCTTGTCAAGTAGAATCTTGCTCTTATGCATTGAAAAAGGTTCGGACAATTTTGCAAGTTTTCAAAATGATTGCTTGTTGTATTTTCTTGTGTATGTTTAGTGTTGTGAGGTGGTTTTCAAAGGTGTTGGGTGTGATTCCTGTTGAAGATATTATTAGTAGTACTGTCAGGACCTTCTTTTGTTTCCATAGTCTTTGTACTTCTTGTGTACCTGGTGGGATTGGTATTTGCGACAATGAATTTTCGAGTTCTTGATTCCAGTTAATAACAATAATAATAATTGAATTGGTTAATTTTTTCTAACAATAAATACTACAAAATTATCTAACTGATTTATATAAAAAAAAGTCATTTTAAGGGTTGATATTATTCTGTATAACGTAGCCCCCATTTGTAAATAGAAATGAATTGATTTTTCAAGTCATAAATAATTGTTTCAGAATAATTTTAACAATGTCACACTCACAGAAGCATTACCAACGATGCATGAATTAAAAGATATTCAAGTAGACATCAATTGTGATAGTCTTATAACTTTTGGATACGATGGTCTTATCGTGATAAGAAATAATACAAATCTTCGAATGATCTATGCTATTTTTATGGCTCATCATCGAAATGAAAATGGTATCAGATCAGTGAAAATAATTAACGAGACTGTTATATCGCTCGGAAAAAACGGCGATCTGATAGCCAACAAATTATGGTACCACATATACAAACGTATCATTTTATTTACGTAGTTCTTATCTCAGTTATTGATTTTTTATTATTGATTTTCTTTTTTTTTTTCTTCTTCTTCTAGTCGCCGTTACGTGCAATGGAAAACAGTCTCCATCAAAGCTGATTCACGATTTTTCAATTCGTTTAATTTTATTTTCGAATCAATCAAATTGTATGACAAAGGATTAAACACGTATTTAGAAAATATTCAAAAATTACAATGGGAAAATGAAATGAACGAAGAAACGTTTACTCGACGTACAATTTTCTTGGAATTGAATAAACTAAAAAGCAAAATTAAGAAATTGCTTGATTTAAACGAGAAAGAAACAATTCTTAGACGTTTGCCAATTTCGTCATACGATTTGGATGAGGAGTATAGAAAGTATCGAATTAAAATGGCTGATTTAAAACGAAACGAATTGAAACAACGTTACAATGAAGAAATCGAAGCACGGAATAAAGTTTGTCAATATTTGAGAACAATATTTTGGGATTCTGAACGCGTCCATGCTTGCTGTCTTAAATCAATATTTGGTGAAATCATTGTTCAAAATTATCCTTGGGGTATAGTCAACGTCGAAATAGATGATTTTCGAATGTTTGAAGGATACTCGATAGAAATACTTGATATCGTTTCCAGGTGATATCATTTTTACTTGTTTACAAAAAAAAAAAATATTTGAAAAGGGTACAGAGGATGTTAGGTGAAAGGTTTAATTGTAATCAAGACTCAATGTGAGTTTTATATGAATATATAAAGTGTTTCGAGTGTAAAGAGTTAAATTACATTCTATAATTTGTTCCTGTACCCTTCATTTATTTAACGATTCTAAATTTGTTTTAATATTGCAATATTTGTATTGACTAGGTTAAACGAATACAAAACTTCCGAAAATATTCTTTCAAATAAAGAAGATAAAAATACTATTAAACAAGAAACAACAACAACAACAACAACAAATAACATGAAACAGGAAACAAATGCAATAGATCGATTTTACGAATCAGTAACAGATGACGAAAGATTACTTTTATCAGGAACAAGTACTCATAATTGGATTATTAACAATACACTTAACTTTATTCATCAGTTAAAACGATCGCAAGATTTATTACTCAATGAATTCAATAAAAGTAGTTTATTTAGAAATCGGGAATATTTGTTGATGGTAAGTAGTAGAGTTTTTATTATTTAACTAATCAAGTATCTTATATCAAAGTTCGATAGATCGATTGTTCGATAGTGAAATCAATTATGTTTATTTTATATTAATGAAAATGAAATTTTTCTATATAGAATCATTTCAACGAATGTTTTAATAAAATGAGATTATTGAAGAAACGAAAAATGGAAGCAGGGAGAGTATACGAAGAAAGATTAAAACATTGTATCTCTGAGATAGACATCATGTTCGAAAATAAGTACACGATTGAATCTGTGACATTACCAGTCTGGCATTATTCCGAAATACCGGATTATGTCATTACAATTGAGGACAAAGAGATTTTGACCATACCCTATGTTCATCCAAAAAAAGAATCATCTTCCAACGATGAATATAAAAATATGAATGGCTGTAATTCACAATTGTATTCGAATGATTATGATCTGTACGAGGAAGCTCTTGAAAAGATGATGGATGGTGTCTTAGAACTTAAGTACGCATTATAGTCTAATTGTAATAAGAGCCACACACAATGGCTGACAAACTGAATTTAATTGACCAAATTCCAAATTTCGTACAGTCCATCACTTATACCTACTATACGAGGTCTGTCCCAAAAGTATCCTACCTACCTTCATATTTCTCTTCTGAAGTTACTCTTCGTCGTCTGACTTATGACATTCTTTAAAGTAGTCCCCATTTGATTGAATAACACGCTCCTAAAAAAAAGCAGTCCTGGTACTCGTTTTTTGATATTGATATATTGTCTGATAGCCAAAATACTAATTGATTTATTTATAAAACATTTTCAGATGGGAAGATGAGATAAAAAAAGATATTCCGAAGCCTGTTTGTCTGATAAAAAACAAATCACCCTCCAAATATACTCCAAAAGATATAAAAGCTATAGAATCGTATAAAAGTAAAATGGAACGTTTGCAATTAGATCGACAAAAATACAAATCAATTTTGGAAGCTGAAATGATTGAAATAAATGGTGAGTAATTATGTATAATCAATAATTATCTCTAAATCAATCTTCAACAAATCCATTAATTGATTGTTTCATTTAGATAAAATAACAAAATGCTTTATGTCATTTGATGAGAAGTTGAAAAATTTCCAAACGAAAAAAATTGCTGTAGATTCCTCGATTCTTCAAGAAAAACTTTTAAGACTTCGTGAGACGCAAAGAATTCATCATATATGCGACGAACTTATTCAAATCACTCATTTCAAAGAAAATACAATTGCAAAAGATGCAGGAAAGGTGCAAGAACTTGCGCAAGATTGTTTATCTTTTGAAACAATTGTTAAGGAGTTGAAAAATCGATATGAAAATTTGATAAAGCGTGAGAAAGCCCTCGAAGGAAAGTTTCGCGGTGAATTTGGTGACCTTAAGCAACTAATAATCGAACACTTGTTTAAACATTACAAAAAAAGACCGAAGATTGCTTATTTTACTTTCACATCTGTAATGTACCTAACGGAATTAGAAAAGTGTGTGATTGGGAATGACAAATCTGAAATATTACCGATTGAATATTCGAATTTTCTTCGAAATCTTCAGTCTCTTGATTTGATACCAAAAAATGTCTCTACGTTGATAGACGATGCTCATTGGAGAACGATGTGTAGATTAAGAAGATTGAAAATTGAAATTGAAATAAAGGTAAGATTAAAATTTCTTTATTAAGTTGATATTAAATTGATACAAAAATAATACACTATTACAAAATGTGAAACAATAATACGAAATGTGATTTGTTGTGGAATGCCCTATATATTTATAAATATTTAAATGTAATATAAAATTGTATAGATATAGAATAAAATTCTATGTTTTTTTCTTTTATAATAATAGCAAATTCTTCATAAAATAAAAGCAAGTATCTTTTGTCTGATATATTTATCTGTCTCAAATTAAAAAAAAAAAGTATTATGAGTTATATCGTAATTATTAAAAACCGTAATTGCTGTATTTCTGCAACAATCCAATATAATAGTATCGATTCATTTAAATGAGCATTTTTCAAATGATTTTATTTTTATTCAAATTTTATAGATAAAATTAATATACATATAAAATAAAATGGTTAAATTTTTCAATTATTCAAGCCAAATTATACAATGTTTGCTACTTCATCTTTATTTATCTAAATGTTAAATCGTTATTTCAAAATTCGTCAGATTTCTTAAATTGAAAGGAATGTTGCTACAAACAAAAAAAACCGGTTATAGGTTAAAAAGAAGTTTGAAATGATAATATCAATATGGGTAACAAACAATGTTATGTGAACGAGTTCGTTAAATATTAAAGGTCAGATGTTGCATCGTGGAATTAGTCGAAGCCGAACAAACTTTGATCTTTTATCAAAGAAAAAAACAAACTGCGCAGAGCGAGTTTAATCGATTAAAAGCAGAATTGGATAAAAGAGAAAAAGAATTTGATCGATTTGTCGAGGATAAGGAGATACAGCTTGTAATGAAGATGGGACAAGTTGAAGTACCACTTGGAGGTCGAGGTTTCGAAGATTTTGCAGATGTCGTGTTGATATCAAAACAAGCATTTCTTTCAACGAATGAAGGAATCGAAAAAGCAGACAAACAAAAATTAACGGCTATGAAGGAGTCCGTCGATTTACGAAAGAAAATATCTCATCAAAAATGGCGACACGAGTGTTTACGGCACACATTGAAGTATCTACATGAGGAATTAACAAATCTTCGTAAAATCAAAGTGAGGAAGCAAGTATATCTTTAAAAGTAACGATCAAACGAATCAACATATATGTGTGTATCTCGATACAATCTCAGTGCTATTATTTCTTCATCTTATTATTTAGATAACGAAAGACTTACAAAAATACTTGGGGAAACTCCCGATTGTGAAAAATCCAAGAAATGAATACGAAGATATAGAACAGTATTCACGTGCCACATCAGACGTGAGTATTTCAGAATTGAACTTTGCTATTCGTTGATTCAGTATTCAGATAAAATTAAATAATAATAAATAACAAATACAAAAATTGCAGCGATATGAAAAATTACTGGAGATTGAAAAAAATCGTCTTGACAAAATTACTAATAATATAGAATATTGGCGAATGAGAAACATCGAATTGACGAAAAAAATCGAAAATATGAAATTAAAAAATCGAAAATTATTTTCACAAACGTTAGAGCCCTTGAGAAAGAAGAATAATAAATTTTGTAGAAATAAACATGTCGTCATTAGAAAAAGAACTGAACTCGATAGAAAGATAAAAGAAAATTATGACGAGCTATTGATGTTACATTCTCGATTAGAATCATTAAGACTTCGAATTTATCCGACTCTACGATTCAATAAATTACACTTTGTATAAAAATTGGACATATTTCTTATCACTTTGGTATATTAACAATAATTAATATAATCGTAAAAAAAATAAAATATGTTTTTCCCAAAGATTATACTGACCTGTGTAAATATTGTATAATCGGAATTACCACTTTTATCTCGTTGAGGTCAATCGAAGAGTTATCGCTATTTTTTTACTGAATACAAATTTAACTAAAAACACAAAAATTACTAACTTATCGATACAAATGTTAATGTTTTTCTAGTATTTTTCCCCAGAAATAGAAAATAACTGTTTTATCTTTGAATAAGTAATAATAACAAAAACAGATGCGTCTGAGTTGATTTTTTTCATTTGAATAACTTTCATTTATTTATAGGTTATTATGTCTTATTATGAAATCTTATTAGAATCAAATAAAATAAAGAAGACGAGATTATGCATTTATTATTAATAATAATAATAATAATAATAATAATAATAATAATAATAATAATCAAATTATTTAGACGTACGAATGGAAACCGGTTTATAATGGCAAGGAGGAGAGTAAAATAAAAAACAAAATTTTCTTTTACTAAAGGAAAGGAAGGACATGAGTTTATTGCACTTATATTGCTGGCTCTTCAAGTAAGAAAATAAAGGAACAGAGAAAGAATAAAAGTCCAACAAGTAATCGAATCAAAAGAATAAGTTATTCGAGATTTATATATTTTTGTTTTTTTTTTTATGTAAGTTGATTCTTAACACACTGTTCAGTAATTATTATATACAAAAAGCATTTGTATAATTGTATTCAAATGATTAAAATTCTGCAATAATTTAGGTATTCATTACAGAATAAAATAATATTAAAATAAAAACTTATACAATTGATACTTTCACAATTACATAATTAATACCTTGTTGATCAACTATAATACAAGAATCTAATATATTTCAAAATAGGTATTATTGAATACTATTAATACTATTATTATTACTTAATCATAAATACTTATTTTGAAATAGTATTACTAATACTATTAGTAATACTATTATAGTAGTATTACTAATACTATTTCAAAATAGGTATATTTATGATTAAGTTTAAATAATACAATTTTTCAAAATTATTAATATCCAAATTGAAGTAATTACAATAAATAATAATATAATAACGATTTATACAATTTTATAATAATAAATACTTAATTAGGACATTTTTAATCGATTAATATATACAAAAATAAAAATGGATAATTAAATTAAATTTCCAAAATTTCGAAAAAGTTCTTAAATATAAAATGTAAGTAAAAGCTCTCCAACATAAAAAAATATAATAATAACTACTTATACAACATTGTATATTTAAATAATTACATAACTTTCTTAGATATATACAATCACGAGTATATTTATCATCGGTCCATCTAACAACAGCCAAGAGTAATGAGTTTGTGCTTGTGTATACTTTTATAAGTAGTTAAAAATAATCTTATTTTTATATATATTGTTTATTATATAACACTTATAAGGAAAATTACAAAAGAAATGTTCGTAGAAACGCGATGAAAAAAAGAAAAAGAAAAAGAAAAATAGTAATAGATATAAACTGAAATGAAATAAAACACGATAACATAGATATGTACTATATACGTTTAACATGACCACTAATACACATGCTGTATAAAAATTCTAACTGCGTATCGTATTGAAGGAGAAAAACTCGTTTTTAGATCTTCGATGAACCACACCTTGAGTCTCACCTTGAATTATATGTCTCGCTTTATTAAAAAAACAAAAAAAAAAAACAAAAGAAATAAATAATCATATATATGTCTGTTTATGTGTCTGCCTGAATTTAAATAAATAAATATGATGTTAAAAAAACAAAAAAAATATCTCAAAAATCATCCGCATAAATATTAGTTCCTTTCATAAGAAAGTTTTGATCGATAATTTAACGTTGGTTTACAAGATTTTGTTTCTCATGAATTATTTGATAAAAATAATTCACTTATAGTTGTTCTATTCTAATATAAGAATGTGTTTATGCAGTAAGTCGCAAGTATACTTATTAAACATTAATTATTCGGAGCTGTTGTAAAATGAAATTAAATTCAATTTGATATCGTGAAATAACAGTTGATATATTTAAAAAATCAATAGTTTTATCATTCAAATTTATATATATATATATGTATACATTTGCATACTATGTATATATTTAGCACACACGAGGAAAAAGGTAGAAGAAGAGGGAGGGAGTAGAAGATCTATAGCACAGTCTCAGTTGATCCGGAGAAGAGGGCAACCATAAGAGTTGAATAGATAACGATAACACGTTATGCAGCTGGGTGACGAGAGAAAATTAGTTGTTGAGTGGAAGAAGGGGGAATGTAACTAAACGAAGAAAGGAAAAAAGAGAGATGAACGGACTGTCGTGGTCAGCGATAGCATCATGGAACCCCCTCTCAAACGATCTCGGAAATTCAAGGAGGAAAAGTGTGCTCCTATATAAGGTCGCTCGTACAATCCTGTTACGGTGGTTTATCATCGGCATTCGTATCGAATCGTCCGAGACTAACACACACTGTGAACTATCCTATTGCCTAAATTATTTACTTTTGTTGTTTAACACACAGAGACATTTCTAGATTGAAATTATTATAAAGTTTGCTTTGCATTTTTAATTGTTGTTTTTTTTTTTTTTTAAATAATTAAAGAGTTTTTTTCAATAGTGTAAGAAGGAAATGAGAAGTGGCGTCAAAATGATGTGTCAAAAAAGCATCATGATCCTTGCGTGTCTAATCGCTGTGATAGCAACCACCAATGCTGCTTTGGGTCGACCTAATCTTGTTTGTAAGTTTCTGAGTTGGTTTGTTTCATTTTTATGCTGGAATAAAATTGTTTATCAATTTTTTTTTCGATTTTCTCATAAAATTAATTGAAAGTTAATTATCATTTACTCTTTTTTGATCTTTCCACTCAAATTATTCTATTAAATTAAATGTATTATTGTTGTTATGTTACGTTGTCCTATTTTTGTACTTCGTAACAATGTTGCAAAAGTTTAATTCAGTTCGATCGAGTGATTCTCGAAAATATGAGCAAGATTAATCGAGTTACTCATCAAAGTATGTTGAATTAATGAAAGGTAATTATCTCGATTGAGTCTTATCAGGTCACTCAGGTCACATTAGCCAATGAAGTATGTATACATATAACCCAATCTCGTGGACATTCGCGACGTCTATTAAATCAGATTAATAGGACAATCACAAAGGAACGATGAGTAATAGAGCGAGTAACGAAATAATGCAAGCGTAAGACCTGAATGCAACCACTTGACGATTTCATTCTATTCCTATCGAGAAGTTCATAATTTCTATTTATCAACAACAATCCCTTTCGTTAATTTATTTTTTACTCTTATTTGTTCGTTCTTCTTTTTTTTTTTTCCCCAGTTACCATGTGTATACCGGAAATATATTGGAAGGAATGTGTACAGATGATGGAAGATTCAGCAAACAAAGGTATTCCTATTTCTTGCATTTCCGGTCGTGATCGATACGAGTGCATAGAAAAGGTTGGTAGAAAAGAGGCAGATGTAGTTGCTGTAGATCCGGAAGACATGTATTTAGCTGCAAAGGATAACGAGCTTGCTGCAAAGGCTGGATACAACGTGGTCGAACAGGTGATTAAGAATAATTCAATCGTAAGAAAGAATGATTAAAGTGTATCTATAAAGCCTTTATTCTTTATCTTTCTTATACCTTATAGATTAGGACAAAAGTGGAACCAGACGCAGCTTATCGTTATGAAGCAGTTGCTGTTATTCACAAGGATTTAAACATAAACAATGTTCAGGGACTTCGTGGTCTTAAATCTTGTCATACTGGTGTGGGACGTAACGTTGGCTATAAAATACCAATCACGAAATTGACATCGATGGGTGTCCTTGGTAATATAAACGATCCAGAATACTCTGCTCGTGAGAATGAAATTCGGGCATTGAGCTCGCTTTTCAGCGAAGGTTGTCTCGTTGGAACATGGTCTCAAGATCCAGCTATCAATCAAAGACTAAGTAAGTATCTTTAGTACTTCATTAAAAATAAACACGTTGATTTCCCCATTCCAGATTTGCATAATATTCTTAGAATAATACAATAAGAATAATACAATTAAATACAAATAAAACAATAGTACAATTTTTATTTATTATATAGTACATTTTTTAGTTGTGATATTTATTTTATTTTAATAATTAAAAAATTTTAGGCATTTTAATAAATTGTCCTTAAATCCTACATATAACATGTTAAACGTACTATGATTACAGAGGAAACTTACAGCAATATGTGTGCACTTTGCGAGAATCCAAACGTCTGTGATTATCCAGACAAATATTCGGGTTACGAAGGTGCTCTTCGTTGTCTTGCTCACAACGGTGGAGACATTGCCTGGACTAAGGTCATCTATGTTAAACAATTTTTCGGATTACCAGTTGGCGTTAGATCTGCAATACCAACAAACGAAGATCCCAGCAACTTCCGTTACTTCTGTCCTGATGGTACAAAGGTACCCATTAATGCTGATACCAAACCCTGCACTTGGGCCGCTCGCCCATGGCAAGGATACATGACTAATGGTGGAGTTAACAACATAGAAGCCGTTCAAAAAGTAAGCATTCAATATTTCTTCAATGAACAAAAGAACAAAAGTTTAATGAATGTTTATATGTCAGGAATTAACTGAATTAGGACAATTGGGTGAAAAAGAAAAAGCAGCTTGGTGGAAAGATTTGATGCTGTTGGATGAAAAAACTCTTGCTGTTGCTTCATCACCGGTTGATCCTGAACAACATTTGAAGAATGCCAAATACTTGGACGTCATTGAAAGAAACTCAGGTGCGCCTGAAAGAAATGCTCGCTGGTGTGTATGGAGTCAGGATGCTTTGAACAAGTGCCGTGCTTTAAGTAGAGCAGCGTTTTCAAGGTAACTGTTCTCAAATTATTTGGAAATCTCTTCGAAAGGATAATTGACTATTGACAGTTTAAATGTTCTGTTATTATTAGAGATGCCAGACCCAGGTTGAGTTGCTTATTGGAGAAGGATCTACATGGTTGTTTGAAAGCTGTCAGAGATGATGGTGCCGATTTAACAGTCGTTAATGGTGGATCGGTAATGCGTACAATAACGGACTTTAATGCTCAACCAATTCTATCAGAAATTTATGGACCTGGTTCAACAGAATACAGCGAAAGACCAGCAGTAGTTGTTGTTAAAAAAGGCAGCTCTATCAATGGACTTGGTTAGTTGATTTAGAATTATTACTAATAAAATTTCTTAAAGAAACTAAACAAATATTTTATCCTTTTCAGCCGATTTGAGAAATAAACGGTCTTGCCACAGTGGTTATAAAAACGATTTTGCTGGATGGTTAGCACCAGTTCATGCTCTTAAAAAAGCTAATTTGATTAATTCGGAAGAAGATGTAGCAGAATTCTTTGCGGGCTCGTGTGCACCTGGTGCTGAACCAGGATCGAAATTGTGTCAACAATGTGTTGGTAACATTGCATCTAATGACGACAAAGTAACTGAGGCAACTAAATGTAAGCCAACTGAAGCTGAAGCTTTCAAGGGTGGCCAAGGGGCTATCAAGTAAGTTTTTTAAAATCTACAATATAAATAATCAATCATTTGGCTTCTGTATCAATCATCTCGAATCTATTAATAACAAATAATTCATAAATAAATAATTCCTTGTTATAGATGTCTAACTTCAGACAAAGGTGATGTAGCTTTCTTACCTCTCCCAGCTCTTATCAAAATTGGTAAATTTCTACAGCAACTTACTTAATATTGTATTTTAATATTATCTTTGTATAAAACTTTACCCTCGATCATATTTTTAGATAAGAAGAATGAGACAGAAGGCGGTGTGAAGACATCGGACTTTATGTTAGTCTGTCCTGATGGTGGTTTAGCACCAGTAGAAGAATGGTCAAGATGCAATTTGGGATTGGAACCACCGCGCATTATTTTAAGCTCTGTTGGAAAAACAGCTAACGCTTTGGAAGAACTCAAACATGGTGTTTTGGCAGCCAGTACGATTTACTCTGAGGAACCAGATCTCCTAAAACTTTTTGGTAGCTGGAGTGGAAAAGCTGACATTTTGTTCAGGGTAATTCCTAATGAAATATATATACGTATATGTGTGTGTATATTTGCATGTTGCAACAGTGAACTAATAATAAGACAAAAATTACATAACAAACGTAATAAAAGTTATACAATATTATATTTAATAATTTTATATAATTATTAAATATATTACACAATTATTACTATTATAAAAAAAAACATCCACTTTTTAAATTTTTTAACTCGTTGAAATGCTACATTAATCAATTTTTTGTTTCAATTAGGACGATGCAATAAATCTTATCTCAATTGACAATTCATGGACCCAATGGAACAAGTGGGCTACAACAAAAGAGGATTATAAAATCGAGCCTTAAGAAAATTGAAATAATCCTTCACTTCTTCTTCTTCTTCTTTGTCAAGTCAACGATTTTTGTAAATAAACGCAACCTAAGAGATTGTTAATTGTCGATGACAACATTATATATCTGTAAAAGATTTAAATCTAAAATCGAGGAACTTCAATAATAAGGTTAAGTCGCCGCACGTGGTCTTAAAAATGATTCTTTATTTGTTTGTGTCTTACAAAGGACTCCTCTCTTTTTTTTTTTTTAATTCCTTTTTCAATATCTGCTTCTTTTCTTAGCATTATTAAACTTTATCACTCTCATGATTATTTCGAGAATGCTCCGTCTGTTATATCCATATTTGGTCGAAGCTTGTTTGACAATGAAAAAATCATTCTAAACTGTATATTTGTTTTATACCAAATTTGGCCGGATGTCGTCACAACAGTTCAACCAAGAACACTTCCTTGTTCTCTTATTACTAATGCAGATAAGTATATAAACTGTCTCACACACAAAACACAACACACGTACTTTGGACTCATACTATACTGTAATCATTTACAATAAAGAGAATAAAGAGTGATCGATCTTCAAGGCTTACATTCGTATAAAGACACACAGATAGTATCAAAACTAATATTAATTTGATAATTTCAAGAACAATTGTAAATAAAATCTTTCAAATTGGAAAGATAATTCAAAGAATTGTGAAAATAGTATATTTACGCATCATTCGAATATTTTATTTCTTTAACGAGTTTGTATAACAAGTGTTAATTGTGTGTATAAATGAACATCTCATTTGTGATACGATTTAAAATATATCAATATTAGAAAATGTAGTAAAACTAAATAAAGCACAATGTAATCAAAATGTGCACGTTTTTGTAATTGAACTCCTCCTAAACGGTTGGACCGATTTTAATGAAATTTTGTGTGTGTCTTAAGGTGGATTCGATAATGGTTTAGCGTTACAATTCGGTCCAGTTTAAATTGTATATTTAAATAATTTTTTATTTATAAGTTGTTATGCGAAAAGTTAATAGGTTGAAGTTAGTCGATATTCGAGTTATAGAGATGAAAAAGGATAAGGAAATTTAATAATTTACGAGTTTTATTCCAAATATTCGGAACAGTATTTATAAAATTGTTCTTTATTCAGGAATGAACTTTATTCAGTTCTTCTATTTCTAAAAATGATACGAGTGGCTTATGGTACATAAAAAACACAAATGCGACTCAGTTTATGACCTTAGTTACATAGAAGAGTAAGGCGAATACGAGCACTTACACAAAGAGGAGATCAAGGATAGAGAAAATCTGTAAAATGAGGTTTAACTTATTCTCTCTCTTTTCCTATCTGTATACTCCTTCTCTTTTTAACATTATTTCATAAAATGTTGATTTTATTTGATTTCATCAAATAATGAATCAAAAAACATTCCTTCATTTAAACTAAAAAAATATAAATTGCGGTCTTCTTCACAGACTATTTACATTTATGACGAAATGATGATGTTTATTCTCGTATACAATGTTGAATGTAAATTACGATTTCTTTTGTATGATTCGCAGTGTTTTATTATTCACGACTTTCCGATGTATTATATGCTCTAACGAAAGCAAAAATGAACTAACAACGGAGCCACAAAACATGAAAATTAATAATGGCACCATGTCGTAAAGCTCGACCGACGTCCATTTACTTTTAGGCTGAAAAACGTACAAATATTATTTCTTTTTTTTTTTTTTCTTCTTCTTAATATCTTAAAGTCTAAATAAATTGAATATTAAAATATTAATATTTATTTTCCTTTCCCTTAAGTATGTGTACATTTTATGGATCAACTTTGAATTTCCTAAATTATGTATTGTATAATAGAATAAAATAATGAATTACCTTTTTGAATTGATTAGACCATTCTGTGTTCAGTAAACGTTGAAGTATTCCACTATCTCTCAACATCAGAATACTAAGTAATAATAAACAAATATTATTATTAATAATATCTTAACGAAAATATATCTTATCCTAGAAAATCAATTGGAAAAGAACGACATACTTGGAATTAATAATACCGTCATATGGACTTCTATTGGGTACAGCCATCGCTATAGTCGTTTGCGTTATAGTATCAAGAGATTCCACGCTGCAAGTGAGTTTTTGTTGCAATTCTGCTGCTATATTATCCATCGCCATAAAAGCATACTTGTCTTCTTTGCAAACTCGATGAAGACCATCCAAATAATTGATTGGTAAATCGGTCTCTTTCGTTAAAATATTATCAAACAATACTCTCAGTACTTTATCCGAAGTATTCTAAAATTATCATAGTTTTTATTTTTTGTTTTTTAGAATTAACAAAAGATTAATAATAACTTTATTAAATAAATGTGAAAATAATTTTGCGATTTTTATTTTCAATTTTACCCACATCGATGTTTTTATATGATCATATTTATTGGCTGAAATCTTTTCAAATATTTTTAGTTAATATTTGCAAATCAATTATTAATATTTACAATAAAACGTGTGTGTGTGTGTGTGTGGTTACACGAATATGGACATTATTTTTAATTTTGTTTTCCTCCCCCCTCCTCCTCCTCCCCCCCCTTTAAACTATTGTTCATTACGAATGAAATAATGATTTGACAAAGAGAGATAATACTTTACTTGAAAAAAAGTATAATCGGCGGATTCTTGAACTACTGCAAATCGATAAGTACCATCCTTGAGAAGACCCTCCATAGTTGTGAAAGGCATAACAAAAGTTTTTATAGCCAGAAAACTTATGAGCGCTGCAGAATAAGCGGCCAATACAACAACAGCTGTTAAATGGATAACAAATTGCACCATACGAACCGGATCTAACAACGATTGTTGCATACCTAAATTTAGTATCAATAAATATAATAGATAAATAATTCATGAATAATTATTTAATAATAAATTCATGAATAATGAATTAATGAATAAATTTGTAACTATATCCATCATACCTTGATTACAAAATGCTCCAAAAACGTAAAACATTATCTCTGATAATGTTGACGGTGAATGTTCGAAATCCTCATAATAAGATATTGTTTTGACTACAATTTTTATTATCATGATCAGTCCACTACTCAGAAGAATGATGAAACCGATTAAATACCAAATATTGGCACCAAAGGGTGATGTATAAGCTTGCCATTTTATAGATGTTAAATCTGGTCTTTTAATGAATGTACGGCACCTTAAAGGACGAGAAATATGACACATTAGTCAAACATGTAATTAATAATACAAAAATAAGATTATTTTCTATAAAAATAATGAGTCATGTTGGCCGACAATTAAGTACAATTCATATACATAGAAATTAATTTATAATAACAATTGTTGTTTTTAATAATTATTTACTTCGTTGAATAAACGGGTGTAGTGAAGTCGATGGCGTCCAATCTATCAGATGTCATCATTAATTCCATGCCTGCAATATCAGCTTCATTCTTTATCAGCATTCCTACAGCACCTGTCCAAGTTCCATTTAATAGATTTAATCCCCAAGAATCCGTTTCTATGTAAGTTAATCTACGAAAGTGAATGAACGAATATTAATTATTGGCAGATCCATCTCCCAATTATTTTGGATAATCGACACTCAACTGTATATATAATAACCTAAATTTTAATTTAAAAAACAATATTTATATATTAAGTTAAGTTTTTATAGTTAGTTTTAGTTATATATTAGGTGATTCGAAAAGTCGTTTCATTTTTAAATAGTTCAATTTGATAAATTTCACTTCTCATCGATCTCATGTGTTACTATTTGTCGATTTGCATCAACTAATGTGCCATTAGTGAGTCAGCAAAAAATGAAACGACTTTCTGAACCACCTAATAGTTTTCTACATTTTTAATTAGTATTAACTGAAGTATAATTTATAAAAAAAAAAAAAAAAAAAAAAAAAAAAAAAATAAATGAAAAACGATATATATCGTTGCATATATTCATCTCGAAACATTCTACGACAAAATCACACAAGACACAATAGTTTAAATATTATAATCTACTGATCTATTAAACAAACAAAATGATACAAAATTAAAGAATAATATATGAAATGAAACAACGAAGAAATAATTAAAAAAAAAAAAAAAAAAAACAAAAAAACAAAAAAATTATAAACGATATACAAAATAATGCTATGTAAAATTGCGAAAGAGTGTTTATTTCGTCGATCCGAAAATATTCGAATTTTATGGCAAAATGAGAGATCGTATGTTGGAAGACGACGAAGAGGTGGCGATGGTAAAAAAAGAGATATTTTCGAGGAAAGATCAACGGCCAGTCAGGAGGAATATTTTCATAAAGAAACTGTAAGACTTTTGAAAGAGCTGAAAAATCGTTTGATAAAACGACGAAAGGAACGAATTGAAAAGAATAGTGCGATTAAAGAGCAAGAGGAAAAAGAAGCGAAGCAAAATAAAGAAGAAGAATAAAAATGATTAACCTTTTAAGAGCAACATGTTACTCTCTCATGTTTTTTCTGTCATTTTTAAATGACACAAATTATATACTTAATAATACTCACGTGCAATTCATACCTTCCTGTAACAACTTCATCAACTCTCCGAAGAAACCACTAACCTCAATAATCTCATTTCTTTCGTTATGGTGTATCAAAGACACCGGTGGATCCTAGAAAAATAATATTTTGTTGAAAAATGATGAAATCAACATAATTACCCGTCAAACACAAAATTCGTCAAAATTCTTATTTCCTGAATTAAACTTACGTGGGCCATGACAACACGTAGATTATGTCCATAAAGATTATTTCTTCTTTGATAGAGACTCAACGTAGGTCCTTTAAAACCATTAATATTATCCCAAGAACCAAAATTCATAATTCTAATTTTCGATTGTGCATCAATTTGATAGACCTCCAAAATCTCCTCCTCATCAGTTTCATTTTCGTTATCACGAGTTATCATCACTTGGCAATCAAATGGTACGTAAATATTATGAAAAAATACTTCGATTTGGGTCTCTTTCCTGAAGAAGAGCAACCATGTTGGATACTCCATTGCCAGCCATGTGGAAACCTGCTATATTTTAGTAAAATAAACAGTAGCTTTTTCTCCCTAATACCTCATTAAAGTTTCAAATTATTCTAGTCCAATTATATTTCGAAGGATAATTATTATTATTATTAATTATATTATATTCAATTCAATTGCTAAATCAATTAACTTCAGTCAACTAAAAATATAAATTGCTATTATTATTCATAATTTAAAGTTAATTATATTAATATTATTTTATGATTTTTGACCTAATTATAATATTAACAATATTTAACCCATTGACTGCCAGACATATTTAAAGCGACTTGTCTTAAATTTTTAAAAATATAATAATATTAAGTTATTGATATAATATTCTAATGGTATTTACAATAATTGATAATTAATATTTTTTACACCATATAAATATTTTATTCAAACTTTTTAATAATTCTTAACGTAAATAACCATTTGTAATTAATCTGAAATTGCAGCACACACTACGAGATATCTCGTAGTTGGCAGTCAATGGGTTAAGTATCGAAATATACAAATTTAAGTATATCAATAATGCTTTTTGATAAAGAAACTTTAAAAAAAAAATTAAAGAAATAGTGTTAATTGTTTTGGCATCTGAACGACGACTCATTTATTTATCAAATCATTTACATATGCGAGCTGGTCTCTTGTATCGTTGTAATCATTCAACAAGACGAAGAGTGGCCTTTTTATATGATAATAACTTTTACCCACCTGTTCGAGAATAAATAAATAAATAAATAAATACTAATATATGAATAAATAACAATTTAATATGTTTATAATAGAAAATAACAACATCGTATTCTCACTCGTGTCTTGAACATTTGAAAATCCATGAAAACCGTACGAATGTGAAGAGTACCACTTAAATATCTTTGAAGGGAAAACAATTGCTTGGTCTCATCCAAACCTACGAAATAATAAAAATAAAATAATAACCATTTTATCTGGTATAAAATAATCATTTTTATATAATAAACTTAAAACACACAAATTTCCCAATTTACAATGTCCAATTTGTCAATCTTGCAGTGACCAATATCATATCAATTTGAAATTAGTAATAAATTAGTAAGTAAATTGAAAAATTAAAATTTATAGAAATAACATTTATTAAACTATATTACACTTACTGGTATTTTCCATAACATTGGGAGTATCGTGCAAGAGTATAATGCATGTGTTATTAAAAAAATCGTGCATATTGCGTATTAAATTTTGATAAACATAAGTAGGTCTAATTAACAATTGACCTTGTGTTATTTGTATTCCAATAAAAATTAACGTTAAAGGTAACAATGTCGACAGCATGTTTATTCGTGTTAGAAATTCTGAAAAATAATGTCACAAAAAACACCAATAATAAACGAGTTAACATTTTTACGTGTTTAATAGAAAAACATTCGAGTTGTGCATTCCCACGAACGATGTTTCGTTATGCATAGACAGGAAGGTACTGATTTACATAAAAAATTTAGTACAGGCAAATAGGCATTATTAGACCCCTATAGAAAAACCTATAGTATATTGTAAACAAGTGCGATAACAAATACTTTTTCTACATTAATAGATAACCATAACAAACATATAATCAAACTAAGAAATCGAATTTGATGTTATTTAGATATTGAGAACTATAATAATATGTGTGACGCTGATGATACACTTTATATCCAGTGATAGTTGCCAAGCTAGTGAATACATAACACACTACATTGCTTTACAAAAAAAAAATACATTCCCTTTACCACTGTTTTTGCATTCTGATTTTGTGACGTGCACGATGTCATTTATAATACTTCATCTGATCGAATACATTCAATTCTATTTATTTACATTGCTGAAAATAACGTCTTAGAAAATGTGAACTTTTATAGAAAATGAAAAATACACACAATGATTCAAAACGTACGCCATTAATATCTGAGAACATTAACGATCGATTACAATCTTTCGAGCTAACATTTGATGTTTGATCTGCACGTAATACAAGCACGACCATCTAATCGTAGTTTTACTGAATAAGCATATCGATTCTATTCATACTTTATTATATCGTTTAATTAAAAATTTTCGAACAAAAAACTGCAATTTTATTAATGCAAAACATTTTTTTTTTTTTGTATTCTATTTGTTTGAACAGTATTTTAGAATACTTTTGTTCAATATTGTGTAAAAATAAATATGGTCCGTTGTGTAGATAAATATTTTGTTAAATATCAATAATTAGTCAGTATTTAAAATAGATGCACTGTATTTAGAATAGAAGTAGGATTGAATCAGGATTGCATATTAATCCACACGTGGAGGAACAAGGTACACTCACAATCAGCCAGTTTACCTAAGGAATGATGCACTAAGAATTCTTTAACAAGAACTTCTTACAGCATTAAATTGTTCTCGAAAAACCACTTGCAATCAATTACAATTTTGACATAACGTAATTATATTTTAAAGTAAGATATACACGTAGACACGCAAATTTTAATCGATTTTGATGAATTTTTTTTATTAAAATATAATTTCTTCTAAATTTTGGAATTTTTTCCACATGGTTTATAGATATTTTTAACTACTATAAAACAGTCCAGTTTTCCGAGAGCAATTAACGAGATTTGTAGCCTCTGTAGGATTGATCTAATGGTAAAATAAAAAGAAAAAACAAATTCTATATGATTAATAATATTATGGTCATTTTGAAATGTATAAAAAAAAAAATTTTTTTGTAATAATAGAAAATATAAATAAATTACACTTTAATAAAATAAAAAAACGTGTGTGTATATCACAAAAGTTAGAAGTGAAATCTTTAAATAAACAAGTTTCGAGGATATAATTTATTATATAACATTATTATAATATTATTTGTACTTTTAATTTGTAATTATTTATTTAATTATTAATTTAATTATAAGAATGCGCGCCTGTTCGTATGCAACCCACCAGACACACTTTGAAAATGTTGCTTGCGAGCGCCATCTACTGGGACGGCAGTTTTTTCCAGTCAAAACTGTTTATACACGTATGTATGACGGGTTACCTATCTTTCGGGCAGACAAAAATTCCGTCTCAAGAGATGGCGCTCGCAAGCAACATTTTCAAAGTGTGTCTGGAGGGTTGCATCCTTATAGGCATTAAATAAATAATTGTTTTGATATATTTACATCTCGAAGCTTGGTTTTCTTTGATGGTTTCACTTCTACGGTGTGTTATCTGCACACACATCTGTTTTTTTTTAATTCAATTAATTATTATCTTGCATTCTATGACATAAAAAGATGAGAAAAATGAAAAAAATTGACGAATCTATTGCCTGCAGATATGACGTTTATTTCTTCGCCAATGACGTTATATCATCTTTGTAATATATTTTGACATAATACAATAATTAAAAAATATAGTCCATTTCCTAAAGGTGCAATTATTAATGTAGGTAAAATGTAATAACTCTAGTTAAACATTTATGATCGTTGTGTGTGACCGTAACTCGATATAATAAGTTCAATGGCTACGATTCCACTGTAATTGAATAATTAAAATGTTATTACAAAATACAAAGTGCAAATACTATTTATACATGCATGTATATCATCTCACGCACGCGAAGGAGGGAATTTGTTTTTTTTTTTTATACTTGTTAAATAGTTGCACAATTTTTAAATATTTCTTTCTTACGTTCAACTTCTGTATATAAATTCACTTTTACGAATTTTACATAAACAACAAGTTGACCAGCCTAATAACGCTTGTCACAAGATCACACATTGCCCATTTATTTAATAGAATTATACTGATAATAAACAATCCAAACATAAACAAATGTTAGAACCTGAAATACAAATTAATTATATTTTTCAACTAAAGTTATACAGTTCTTTCTTTTCCTTTTCGTTTATTTGTATCCTTTAATCGATTGATTTAAAACTAACCGAATGTATGTGAATCATTATCTCTAGGTAAAAATCATTTTACCATTTATATACTTATATATATTATTCAAAGACACGTGTTAGGGCAATACAGGATCAAGAACGACGAACATATATCACTATCTCTTAACGATATATGGCTGTATAAAGAACTGAAGGTCCGTATTCGAAACGTACTAACAGTTTTAATCCTGTATTATAGAACATTAATTTATTTTTCTTTTTCCAAAAATAATTTCATATCGTATCTATACGTCAATTTAACGCTCTGAATACGGGCCTCAAACTAAATCCTAAAAAAAAAAAAAAAAAACATTCAATTATTCTTTTCGAAGTTGCAATCGAACCATCTTAAAACCCATAGAATTACAATACGTTCGACTGTCTCTTTTCAACAACATTTTTCTTTTTTTTTTTTCTTTTTCTTTTCATTTCTAATAAGCTGCACGACATATCACGGTCAAATTCTAAAAATCTAAAAATGTGCTAAAAACTAATTAATAATAAAAATACAAATACAAATAATAATAATAATAATAATAAACATAAAAAAAAAGAAAATACTTTTCGCCAACTTAAATAAAAACGCCGGAAGAGTCGTAATCTCATTGAAAGCTGACAAAATTGAAATGTATACAACAATAATATTTTTTAAATAACGCTAACATGATCGTTGTTAATCGATTATTATTATTATTGTATCGGCCGAACTATTTCGTTGAATATTTTTATTATTTTTATTTATTTTTTTGTATTTTTAAAGTCTTCCTCAAAGAATATTTTTATGGAAAGAGAGAGTCATACTTTTGTTTTTTTTTTTCAATATACATTTACGTACTTAATTAAGTACCTCCTTCCGTTCTGTTCCGAAATCTATATTTCGTAGGAACATTTTGAATAATATTTTATTATTAATAATATATAAGATATTTAAATATATATATCAGAACATGAGAGTATTTCTTAAACTCTCTTTTTAAAGATTCAAAAGGTACAAGAATAATACATAACATATATATATATATATATACGTACATACAGATACGTCGTCGTACGTAATACATGATCCACAATTTGAGAAAGATTTTTTTTTTTTTTTCTAATTAATTTTAAGGACTAATATTATAAGAGAAATTGTATATAATAATCGACTCAACCGGTCGTTTCATACTAACCAGATTTAACAGTCATTAATACGCATTTTTCTTATTTAACTACTAATATTGCTATGTGTGTTTTGTGTTTTGTTAAATTTAATCAAACTAAAGTCTGCAGGAAATTCTTAATTACAAAGTGACTCTTCGACAGTGGTCGAATTTCTCAAGTCTGTGAACATTCCAAATGATTTGTGTAATTATTTAATACGTTTTTTTTTTTTTTACTTCTTTTTTAATTTTAATAATCTAACATAATGTCATTTTTAATATTTATCTTCTTAAAAAAAAAAAAATAAAATAAAATCAATTTCTACTTGAAATGAAATATACAATTAGTGTAGTATACACGTATCTATATATATATATATACCTAAACAAAATTAATCAAATAATAATTAGTATGTAAAATAACGGAATACGATAAATTATTTTTTGTAATCAATTGACTTGGTGTGTTAATGTTCACAGACAATTTGAATAAAAACAACTGTGTATGTTCCTCTCTTTTTTTGTTTGTTTTTTTTTTTTCGCATTATCAAGATTATCGTATTAAATAATCTTTGTTAAATCCTCTACAATACTAAGCTACGCGATTCTCCTTCATATATTCTAAGAACTTTTCTCATGTCTTGTACACCAATGTGTATATACAGATATGGTTCTCGTTTTTTTTTTTTTTTTCATTTATCTCTCTATATTAATATTATTCTAATATTTAAACTTGTCCATAATTAGTTAGTATAATAATTAATAAACAAAACCAATCGATGTACTTTTTTTTTTTTCTGGCCATTTATCTAGAGTTTAAAATGGAGGACCCATCCAAACGTATGTGAACAATTTGATAATATTTATCTCGTTGTGTTTGTTTTTTTTATGCAATCCATAATATCTTAAGTATATTATATTTACACACACATTGTGTACAAGCATATTATTCGGTTCTCATATAGAGTATTACGATTATTTATATAATTTGCTTTATTTAAAGCTATGTACGCGCGCTTATCTTTGTGTATTTTGTACAATACTCACACATTAAAATTACTATGCTGCAGTTTAATGAAAAATAAGAAGAAGAAGAAGAAGAAGAGAAAGAAGAAATATATGATGAAGTTAATATTCGCCCTTTTTATCGCGCAACACACATTCACACACGCTAACACGCGCTTATACATGCACCCACACGTACTCATACACACAGGTGTATATAAATATAAATATCAAACAATAGAAGCAATGCGGACGGCTATGTTCAGCCTATGTACAATCGTGTTAGGTACATTCTGATTGGTTTATTTCAATATTACCAATCAAAAATGATTCTTATATAAATGAGTTTATCTTTTTTTCTGTATATTTTCAAAAGCTACATCCTTAATTAAATAACTACTATATCATCATAAAATATTAGAATTAAGTTGGTCCACCGAAGAAACGGCATAACGAACGTTAGTATACCTATATATATTTATATCGTCGACAAATAGTTTCAAAGACTTTTAAATATGGCTACCAATTTCTATTAGATTATTATTCGACGAATTAACATTGATAATATTATTTCATTTTCATTCTAAACTTGATCCCGACAGATATAATTCATAGACATCATCAGTTTCTATCTTATATATATATATATATATATATTTTTGTTTATACAGAGTGAGCCAAAAATTTATTAAGTGATTAAAAATATAAATTACTCTTTGTCAAATCTTTTTTTTTTTTTTTTTTTTTAAGCATATTGTTAGTTGTAATCTTAAAAAAATATTCAATAAAGAGTAATTGATTTTTAAATATCACGTAGATACATTTGAACCACCCTGCATAATAATCCATATTATTTGATTTCTTCTAAACTTTTAAATCATTGAATATTTAAAAGTTAAGTTAGATGACAAACGATATAACGATGTCATAATAGAATATTTTTCTTTTAAAATTAAGGCATCCCTAAAAATGTCAAGATAAAATTGTAGTTGTTTCGTTAGTTTTTATGTTCCCTCATGTATTATTATTTTTTAAATAGGTATATATATATATATATTTTATAAAGAGATATTATAGAGTGACTCTTTTTTTTAGTTGTTGATGATGTATGATCAAGCTATGTAAAAGCTTGTGATCATCACTACAAATTATGTAGTATACACTTCCGTAATTAGTTGTATATAAGAAAAGGACGATTGCGTTAACACTTAGCCTTTCGTATTATTGTTATTAGGACTAAGAGGACCACCGATATTATCTATTTCACGTTGAGCTCGAGATATTTTCACCTTGTCTCGTGGTGTACCATCTTCTCCCGTTTCCATAGCAAACATCTTCATTTTCTCTTTGAAACTTAACTTCTCAGGTACCGCGCCCATCTGCAAATTTTGTTGCTTTTGTTTCTCAGCGAGACGTTTTGTTCGTGGATCTCTAAAAAAAACGAAAAAAAAAAAGAAATCAATTCAATTATGTTTAAAATTAATATTAACAAATAGAATTAATTAAAACTAACTTGTATACTTCTTGGGCACCGATCACACCGGGTGTGGCGTTAACAAAAGGGACGCCAGGACCTTCCGGTGATTTTGGAGATGCTAATAAATTTTCAGCATCGTTGATAAAATTCTGAAAACACAATAGAAACAAAATGATAATTAATTTAAATGAATAACTTTTAATATTTCTTACGTTGCATCATGAAACTTTGAACAATGCCATTACTCTGCAAATGCACAATTTCGAATTATCAACAAGCCAGATTGCAAACATTGAAAATTTATGCACATACATGTTGATAGCAGCGAATGAGATGTATAACATCGATAATATATAAATATGTGTATATATAATGTGTCGAAATATATTAAAAGCGTTAACTTACTAATAATGATTGAGCGAATGTATAACTGGTATATAATTTGAAAAGAGTGTTCCATGCAAAACTGCAAACGATTTATATAATAAATATCATTTTTATGGTAAATAACAGTATAATAGTGTTATATGTATATGTATGTATACCTTACGTTGATATCTGCCAATGGGTTGCATTACGAGAGAATAATTAATCAAATATTTTGTGTTATATATCGTGTCAAATAATGTTTAAACGTTAAGCAAGAGCTAGATTATAAGTTACAATATTCGTGTGTGTGTGTATATTGCTGAAGCTAATTGGCAAATTAATTAATTCATGTGTTTTAACGTGTCACATTATTTCAAATATGTGCTCTTTATTTTTTCTTTTTTACTTTTTCGTTTAGTGCATAAGCATATTATAGTGCAAAATTACACGTTTCTTCACACCTATACGGTCTATAATTTTAATCTTTTGTAAAAACCGATCTACGATATTTCTCTTTGCATTGATTTGATTTAAATATCATCAAACTCGTATATCTAATTATAAATAATATATGTATAGCTTTCTTTAATTTATTTAATAAATAATATAAGAGATCTTACATTAGGATCTTCTCTAATAGTGACCATGCCCATCGAAGATGAAGTATTTAAATTTCCCGACATGACATTGCGTGGCGTTGTTTCGGTGTTTGCGTTTGGATCGTGAAAAGATACCCTCTTGATCGTGGAAGATGTTAGAGGTGTTAAGGCAATATTTGAGGAGGTCGAACTGTTTGACCTAAGTGCACTTTGTTGAGACATCACTGCATAACTAGATCCACGTTCTGGAGGTGGAGGTGCATCGGTATTTCCATTTTGTAAAGCTATATAAAAAATGTTACAATTTGTTGTTTAGTCAAATCAGATCAAATAAAAACATGTGTATGTGGTGGTAGTTTACTTACATGGTGATGTATTGGGCCCATTAATAACTAAATTGTCTAATCTTAGCATATTCGGATGCAATGCTTGTTGATTTCTATAATGTTGCATATGTTGTTGCTGTTGTTTGTACAATTGTTGTATATGTTGTTGCTGTTGCTGCTGTTGTTGTTGTTGTTGTTGCTGCTGCTGCTGTTGTTGATGCCTACTTTCTTCTTCTCTTTGTCTTTGATTTTCATCAAATTCTTTCCTTCTAATTTCTTCAATACGACGTTGCTGTGATTCCCTTTCTTCATTATTTGGAGACATTGCAGTTGTATATGTTTTTTGAATATTTCCAATATGAGATAAAGATGAACTATAATTCGACGAGATAGTTAACTGTCCTGTATTATTTTGAGATTGATTGGTATGTTGCTGTGGCTGTTGTTGCTGTGGTTGTTGTTGCGGTTGTGGTGGTTGTTGTTGCTGTTGTTGTTGCTGCTGCTGCTGTTGTTGTTGTTGTTGTTGTTGTTGTTGCAGATATATTAAACCAGAATTATCATTTTGTACTAGGCACGAATTTCCAGTAGCATTTGGAGACAGTGGAGTATTAACAGTTTGGGATGTAGGTGGGGTACCTCTTATCGATTGATTATTTACGTTTGCTCTCGACAATGTATGCTGTTGACTTGCTGTGTTAGTTCTTTCTTGAGAATTAGCTACACTTAATAAACCTTGAGCCTGCGGTATACTCTCAGTATCAATGTCATTACATTCGTCGTCGTCATCTTGTTGATTGGCGGCTTCTTCTGCTCTTTTTTGGAAATCTCGTTCCAATTGAAGAGCACGTAATTGTTCATCTTGTTGAGGAGTTCGATGAGGCAAAGAGCTTAATTCGGCAATTTGCTGATCGCGCCATTGTCTGGCGGCTTCTCTTCTTCGAGCTTGTTCCTATAATATTTGAATTAAATAAGATCGTGCAATACGATATGAGAATATATTTTTATATAAAAGAATTGTAATATACCTTTTCACGTTCTTCACGTTGCCAAGGATTACTAGCACTATATTGATATTGACGAGGTTGTTGCATTGTTCCTGTCCCACTTGCTGGATAATAGCCACCTCTAGGCGGATCTTGCATACTTGCGGTATACCTACATATCGAATATTATTATATATATATATACGATTTATAAATTTCTTATTTTATATTAGGTAAATAAATACAATTAAATAGTAACCTCGAATCTGCTTGATTATTATACAAGGGGTGAGTTAATGTATTAGGTGGCGGAGGTGGTGGGCTTTCCCTATAGCCATCTTCAGGAAGAGCAGGTCTTGCTGGTGGAACCTCTGTAGTATTAAAAGAATTTCCTTCGACATTATCTTGAATCATAGTAGTATTTTCATTTGAATACTGATCGTTCCTAAGATCAGGTGGTCCATGAGTATAGTGTGATCCGTTTTGAGAAGTCATGTATTGACGATTATGATCATAATGCGATCTAGTAGAATCTTGAACTGTGAGAGATTCCTTTCCAGATTCAATCGTTGGTACATGACGAGGTGGTTGTTCTGCTTTCCCTTTAGATGCTAACCCATACTGAGCAGTTGGGTGTTTGTTGCACTGGCCATACTGAGCATATGCAACATCAGGATGACCATACGCTGGTCCCATTGGTTGTCGTGTTGCTGACGATGTTGCTAAATTAGGCGTAGAACCCAAAGGTCTCGAAACAAGAGCACGAGCAGGTACAATACCAGCTGTTTGATTAGCATTTGCCGGTCTCATGTTATATGTATTTGGTCTATATTGATTGATCATTGGTACTCCACCCCGTAACTCGCGTCTCCTAACTTCTTCTTGCATTTCTTGAAGTTTAGCTTCCTGACGAATTATATCTCGCGATGATTGCGATCTAGGCGGAACCGCGTTTTGATGCTGCATCTGGTTACCGGAATAACCTTGTTGTTGAGTTTGAGGAATATGAGCAGATATTGGTCTATCTCTTCCTTGGTTCAATTCTTGCGCCGGTGGCCGATTCAGAGAGTTTTGTGATCCTCTCGAACTTCGTTGTGTATGTAACGTATTCCTAAAATAAACTGAGATGAAGTATCGAATTTGGACGATATCAAAAGCACTCGTCTTCAATGGACTAATCAACCCAGAAACGTAGGAAAATCAAATGAGAATGATTATTGAAGTTTACCTATCTTCCATGTGTTGCTGAGATAAACTTGGCTGCTGTTGTTTTCCCGTTGAATCTTGATTTCTATAAACGCTCAAGTTTTGATAGAATCTTTCGGCTTCGTTATTCTGTAGATTATTTTGGAAAGATCCATGAGGTTGATTTGGGTTTAAGTTTGGCGAGGATTGTTGTCTGCTGACCAAACCACTCGGAGGTAATGCCCCAATTCTCGTTGGATCGTGCAAATTATGGCTCGATCTAAAGATAATGAATGTTTACATTGATATTCAAAATAAATGTATTAAAAGAAAATTAGAATAATCATTTTACCTAGAGCGTAGGCAAGAAGCTCCGTTCATAGCAGGCATTGGAGATGGTTGAACTGGTGGTGTAACGCTGTTACTCGAAGATGCTCTACTGTACCCTGGGTTGAAGATTTCATGTTGTTGTTTTCCTTCAGCACCCATATCTACATCACAATCTTTCGAATTAATATTAACATGAAAACGTACTCGTAGCATTAAAGTGTATAAAAAATTAGATTATAATCGATCGGATCCTTCCTCGTTCGTTTTCATTAATATATATTGATAAAACTTGTCTATAATATGTGATCTGGTACTTGAATATGTAAATGTGATAAGCGGTATGAAATAGTGTAGAGAGAAAAGCCGAGTGTATGACTCACAATCAGGGCGATTATGCAAATGATTAACTCACACTTTCCTGAGTTGGTTCTATCTCACAAAAAATAAAACAAAAGCAGTGAGACGCTAGACCGAGAAAGCAAATATTTGCAAGCCAGTAAAGATAATCGACATGATCGTTCCAATATATCATCATTTTCGAATAAATTTGAATTTATCAAACGTATCATCTTTTTTTTTGTATTTATACAAATATTATTATTGAATAATTTGTAAATAAAAAAATTTGGAAAATCTTTTTGAAGAACCACGTCAGGGATTACTTACTGTGCAAGGCTGGGACGGATTTGCTGCTATGAATTTGTTGGGGAATCGTTTCACGTCCAAGTCTAGATGAAAGATCACGTTCGCTCATGCGACGAGGCCCTGCGAGATAGCACAAGATGCACAAACAAAACATTATTAAAACTTAACACACAACAGCAATGCACAGTTTTTCACGTGGCATATAATTTTAACATAAAGTTACATGCATCTCTAGGTAAACATGCGAATCAAATATTTGTCTTCCTTCCTGATTTCGTTTTCCCAGATCAAAAATTATAGTTGCAATGATTGTTATATACATTAGGTATTTCTTTTTTATGATTTTTATCTTCGTTGTTATACATATCATACTAAATCATATTATAAATGTTACTATTTATAAAATGAAATTAGTATAACATGCAAGTAACAAGAAACATCAGAACATTTGACTGTATTGTTCATATGTACATATATATAATATATATACACGAGGATGAATCGTTAGTAAATGGCAACTGGTTGTAGATAAAAGCACTTCATGTAAACGATCTGATCTAGAAGAACACGTTTCATAGCCGCAACAGACTTAAACAATGATAATTATAGGACTAATCCTAAACAGTGAAGAACAAAAGATTCTAATTTCTTGCATTTTCGTGCAAATGTTTTATGAATACACGTACGATGCATGACAAAATGCAAATGCATGATGAAAAAGCGAACGTATTTATATATTTTTGTCGAAAGACGAAAAATATTAAATCATCATAAATAATAATATTAATAATAATAGAACCTAGAATAATAAAAAAAAAAAACGTCTTAAGAAAAATATGTAAATAAAATATAAATTATAGGAAATAGGATAGATTATTGAAATTTAGTGCGTCTTTTTCAATTAGGAATTGGAATTAAAAAAAAAAACAAAAACAAAAAAAAATATACAACTCAATCGTAAAAAGCAATTTGAAATTTCTGTAACGTAAAACCAAATGGGGGGGGGGGAGAGGAAATAAAAATAAGTGCATAATAACTGTATCGAACGAAAGACAACATTAATCTTATGAACGATGTAATTTGTGCCTGCTTACGCGAAGCGGAACCGATTTCCATCGATGGAAATACATGACTATCTCGTTTCTCCTTTCTGGATCTGGAAGTTGATTTAGATTGCGAGATGTCCGGGTCACTTTTTGATTTTTTAACGATATTCAATGAATTCCGATCGATCGAACGACTTATTGACGATGATTTTGCTTTGTTTTTACACAATCTACCAAAAAGATATACATTTCCTTCGATGTCTATGGTCGTTGTATTGTCGACAATACGAATATCATCTTTTGATTCTTTTTGTTGTGATGACGTGCTCATCGAACAACTACGACACGTAAGTTTTTTCGACGTTTGATCGTCATCGTCCTTTTTAATGGTAGTATTTTTTTTATGAATCTCTTGATAACTCTTCGACAAACGTCGTCCATTGATCAACGGGGCTTGACGTTTTTTACGATTAATCCCACTGTTCTCACTTTGCAAATTTTCCCAACTGAATGATAACTTTGATGACCGTGAAAGAGATGAATTTGAATCGAGACCATTTGTACTTCCTAAAGACCCCTTATATTTTTTGTCTTTCTCATTTTCTTTTTCCTCTTCTATCTCTTCTTCTTGTTCTTCTTCCTTCTTTCCAATTGATAGAGTACCGTGAACCGTAAAATTACCCTCATTATTGTGATGATGTTTTATTAAACGTAGATAGAGCATAGCGGTTGATTTCTTGGAGATATCTGGTGCTGATACCACTCTGTTAGAACGTGCTGGAAAAACGAAATATTTTCTAAGTCCTGGGGTCATATTAATCTTATCGTTTTTCAATTGATCCAATGACGATAATTCTTTTAAAGAACAGCATCGTCCTAATTTGCAGGTTCCACGTTTTTTACGTTTCGTTTCTTGTCGCTGCGAGGAAGAATTACTTAAAGATTCTATGTTCAACGATGACGTTGACAAGTTTTGCGATTTTTTTGATGGTTCCAATTCTGATTCGTTACCAGTGATTACAGATTTATTCAACGATTTATTAGATATCTCGGAATTCTCTACGGAATCGTCTATTTGATTTTCTTGAGGTAAACACAAAGGTGCATCGGTGTTATCGAGATTAGAAAATTCTTCGATTTGTTCAATAATGTGTCGTTGCTCTTCCAATGACAATTTCATTTGTTTGTCTTTAATTGTCAAGTTGGTGTCATGAATATAAACATTGTATTGTCTTTCAGGTGATACTTGAGTACTCTTGTCCTCGTAACATAAATCAGATTCCGATTTAAACATTTTACCAGTAGCTGATCCACGTACTTCGGTTGTTGAACTTCTTGGTGATGTAATGTCGGGTTCCGAAGCAAATTGTCTGGAACGTGTCAACTTCATAGACTTCATTTTAATTAATCCACCATCCCCTAAAGCTGAGAAATGTTTAGCCAAGGTTGCTACTCTTCCACAACCTAAACGTACTTCGTCAGGAGATTTCCAAAATTTTCCTGTACTCGACGTGTCACTGGAAACCGCGTCATCGTTCACTCCACTTAAATCAAGAATTAATTCGGATGTTATTATCTCTTCATCTTTAGAAATTAATTCCGACGTACTCAATTCTTGTTCATCGTTTTGATCCGTGGTATCCGTAAAAACATTGGAATAATTTTCATCGTCATTGTCGCTGTTACTTTCGAGATCGTTAGAAGATAATTTCTTGGACGATACACTGAGTTTCGGTGAATCATCTACGTTGCTAGTTTGACTTTCAGTACTTTTTTTTCTTGAATTTAAGGAACATTGACAAACCGTGTAACATTGTTGTTTAGATATGACGCCTGATATTTCTACTCTAGCACCTAACTCATGAGCATGAGGATCTTTACATCCGGTAGAGGAATAAAATAAATCGTTACGAGACTTTGAATGACTTGTCTTATCTTCAGGAGTATCATTGTACAACACAGCATGCTCTTTTTCTTCACCTTTATATTCTTCATTTTCTTCAGATTCATCGTCTGGATAATTATCATCAGTCTGATCGATGTAAGGAATAGAATCGAAACATTCTTCGCCGAAAGGGATCGAAGAAGACAGGCACACGTTCGGAGTCGTGTCGACTCTTTTCACAAAACTATCGCCATGAAAAGGACAAGTCCAATGATTCTCAATCGTATGATCATCATTAGTATCATTAATTTGTTTAAAAGTTAACCCGGACATACTCTTATTTTCATGTTCGCACGTTGTTGGTACAATCGTGTCAGGAAAATTAAAACTATTTTCGATTTCATGAGGACACTGTCTTTGAAAATGACAAGGTATCGATAATCGTATTCCTTCGGGTTCTTGGATAATAGGAATAGTTGATAAAGTATGCCAATTTCCCGATATTGGCATACGTTCTTCGTTAAACCTGTTGCAGATTTCTCTGATCGGATAAACAGATGCTGATCGCGTCTTCATAAAATTATTATGCCATTGATGCGGATTCTGCGTTAACGGATAAGAGGGCGAAGGACTGAGAGAGCGACGCTCGTATTCGTTAAGGTACAAATTAGTTTTGGGAAGTTGTGAAGCTGTCGCACCTGATAATGTGGATTGTTCTACGTCCCAGCTAACGTAGTGATCTTGAGGAGGAGTAGGAGCACCCTGCAATGGTACGGACAAGAGATTGCCCATCGAGTGTGACGTAGATGCTGGCACGGACACTTCCGGAGGTCTAGCGGGGGGCTTAATGTGTTCTGACTTTGGCCTGGCCTTATGTGCTGCTCCAAACAATAGGTTAGTTAAGCGTTAGTAAAGCTTTTTAGAACATAAGCCAAGCGATTGTTGATTTCTTTTTTTTTTTTTTTTACAATGTAGTAGTGTGAATATTTGATATTTATAAAAGAACATATTAATTATTTATATTTTTATATTAAATTATAGAGATGAGATACTTGATGTAGTTGTTTGGACGCACCTTTTCCCTCAAATTAATCGGTGAAATATTAAAATACGTTTAACATACATACCCCTCGTCATTATGGGAGATGGTTGAGATAATAAAGTAGCTAGTCCATGATATATCGCGCCTTGTTTGGCAACTTCCAATGTCACTGTTGGTCCCGTTCGAACAAGATACTCCGCAGCTCTGATTTATAATACAATGAAGATAAATTAATATTAAAGAAACAAATGATTGTTAGAATTTAATATGATTTATCACTTACTTTTCTTGTGTTATTCCAACTAAACTTTGACCGTCTACTTTGAGTAATTGATCGCCAGCAGCTAACCTTCCATCCTAAAAATATGATATAAAATATTAGAAATCTTATGTAACTTCTTAAAAAAATTAAAAATCAAATATTTACCGCATCTGCTGCTCCACCGGCAACGACACTTTTGATATAAATCCCTAATCTGTCTTGACCAGCACCCTGCATAATAAATTTTGATATAAATAAAACTCACTAGACAATAAATAAACCTTACTATTTCTATAAACTTATCATACCTTAGCAGCAACGATACTCAAACCCATGCCATTGGTCGACTTATGCAATTTTATGATATGTATCTCTGGTTGACCTTGATTCTGTCCGACATGTCCAGTGTAACCACCTGATCTATTACTCATCGCACTTGGACTACGTAACTACAAATAAAAAAGTCATCCTTTATAGACGATCGTATGATAAAACTTGAACATCAGGATGATAATAAATGGGCTAAGATACACACGTTCGTATGATGATCTATCATATAGATAGTCCAGTAACCACTACTAGTAGGTTGAGGTGCCATTCGACACAAACCTTCTTGTTGTAAGGGTGATAGAAATTCAACCAATCCTGGTGGTACACCTCTTATTACCTCGCAACTGTAACCATCCTCTGGCAATAGCAAAGCTAATGCCAAGGTGGATTCTTCTTCCAAACGTATTTCACGTCCGTCGGCACGTGCAAGTGTATCAGCGACACTTTCGGCTACCTTTGTAACGAATAAAACTTGTTTATCTAACCACTTAATGACGTCAATAATTGGAGGAAATAAATATTAAATAAAAACACTTACTCTGACAACGTTTTCAATGAGTTCAGCAGGAAGTCTTGGTTCATCGGCAGCTGGCTGATACTTTTGCAACAACGCTCTTACTTGTAACGAGTTTAATTTAAAACAAGTCGAGCTCAACGTAGCCAATTCTTCGGCGTTATATTTTGGTGCTTGGAGAAGATGCGTAGCTTGCATGATCGTAGCTAAGTGACATTGACTGGCTAATTCAAGTCCTTGTCTCTCAGCCCACGTTTCTAAAGCATTGAGCCTTGCTTTTAATCTTCGACCAAACCACCGGACGCAGAGATTTCCGTTAGAAACTAAAGCGTTGAAAGCGATTGCATTGATCGCGTGAAAAAGATGACTGAACAATTGGATGGTCAATGCTGCGTTAACTCGACAACGTCTTAACAGAGCCATAGTATTGGAAAATATTTGTAATACGCCAGCTTCTTTAGCAGGTTCATCAGCGTCTGCCATAAATTGAGACATTGCTGGTGTCAATTCTAAGGAAACGCAATGTACGAGAGATGCGAATGCAGCGTGAACAGCATCAGCTAAGATATCTTGAGCTCTCGTTGAAAATGCTCCTACGTGACGATCGCTTTTCAACATGTGCAATAATTCCGAACCATTTGCAAGCCAAAATGCCAAGGATGACGCATCCATGTATCGTTCCTATATATTTAGAAATAAATACAAATTATTTAGTTATTCCAAAGAATCCCTAAACTTTAATGAATCTATCAAAATGTTTCTTATTATAGAAAATAGTTTTACCTGAATAACTCCTTGTATCATCAAGGCAATATTCGCAAGCATCACTGTCAAACGATGTGCTCTTTCAGTAGGTTGTAATTCCGGTCTGTAATGTGTGCTAGCACGGTATCTAGCTGACAGATATAGAGTATAAGTCGGTGCTAGTTTGAATTGCGGGGCTGAGGGATCTACGTCGGTGATGACAGCACGTAGAAACGCTTCCTCCGTATCTTCTAAAAATTCCAATACTGCTGGTAGAATAGGGTCCGTACCTCGTGGTTGATTATCGTATTGGGGATGCCTGTTGATTCATCAAATGTAATTTCGTTCATATAACCGATCAATAGATAACATATTTATATATAGTATGTATATGAATATATATATAAAAAGAAAAAGAAAAAAAAACAAACAAAAAATGAAATGAAAAGGTTCATATAAAATCCAGCTAGAAAATTTCTAAATAATGGCAAGCAAAACGATTAGATTTTGATGTATAATAATTAATGTAAAATTACGTTCTATTTTTTTTTTGTTTTTTGCTTTTTGCTTTTTTTTTGGTTGCTGTTGTTTAAAGTTTTAATTTAAAAAGAGAATCAAAAAGCTAGCAGAGCTAATAATAACAGCACTTAACGGATGAATCAATCTAAACGTTCGCCGTCCAGGTTACCTGTTGCCATCTCTACTACTCGTTAAACTCGCAGTTTCCACATTGCCATCCAGGTCGAAGGTCGTTTCATAATTGTGAGTCACCTCTTGTGCGTGAGTACCGTGCGTGGGACTACGCGATGTGCTAGCTGCCGAAGATTTAGTGGGACTCGGAGGATTCGAAGTTTGACCAGGACTCTGTGGGTGTCCACCGTTTGGGGATCCAGAACCTGATCTGTATTTGTCCGAATTTGCTTCTTGGCTGGTAGCATCTGGCGATCGTCTACGATAGACAAGCAGCCACGGCGCGTGCGAAAGACAAAAGACAAAGCAAAACTAAAAAAATGGACTAAGCGCGCGCGCGATAAAGGGAAAGAGAGAAAGAGAGAGAGAGAGAGAGAGAGTGAAAAAAAATTACATAACTAAAAAAAAAAAAAAACAATGAAATTTATGTACATGGTATGCGTGGACGAAGCGATCTATAACTAAGAAAACAATCTAAAGCAAACGATGCCTCGTAGTAGAAAAGACTCGAGCTATACTCTAACTATCTATAGCTAATTTCAGTGGTTCTCAAAGATAAATATTCATTTTATTTTAAGATAATTTAGATAAACGATCGAAAGATTTGAAAGATTTATGTTACATTAATCAAAGAAAGTTTTTTTGATTTATTTAAATATTAAAAATAACACACACAAAAAATATATATATCAGATAAGTACTTATGAGGCTATAAATCATGCGTACTTTGAGAAGCACTGATTCTAATCTATCGGTATATTAATATAAGTGTATGCAAGAAGAGGGGCTCGTAAATCTATCGCTCAACTCACCGGTCGTATGCGTACTCGATCTGTCTATTGGAGTCATGACGTTGCCTGATACGGTCGTCGGGTGCGGGGTCGATGAATCTGAAGGTATGCATTCTTCCGAACTTGATGATAGCTCCATTCTAAACACGAGGGAAAGAGATATATAAATATCAAAGATAATATATATATATGTTAGAACATTTTTCCTTGTACGAAGAAGTTGGACAATCTTTTTTTTTTTAAAAAGAATGAAAGAAAACTCCTATTTCTTCTAACATCAATCTAAAGTTCTTCATACAGGTAAGTATGAAGTTTTGTTCTTATAAACTATTGATTTATTTATTATTATTTTTTTTTTTTTTTTTATATAATTCCCCTTGAGAGAAACAAACAACAGTAGTTTTATCAATTCTTGATACCTCAATATAATATATTTGTTTTGTCCTTTTTCTTAAAAATTTCAAAGAAACTGTTTTGATAAGTTCCAACAGACTACACCATTCATCGTTCTTCTTCATCTTCACACACACACACACACACACATAGTTAATATGATTATATTAAAAAATGAGTTGAAAAAGAAAATGTTTCTCTATTTAATATTCAATTAACATTCCAACAACAACTACGATGATTTCTTAAGTTTTCTCCATTAATGATTTCATCGAGATTCAACAGAGAACTTACTTGAAGTATGGTAGTCTGATGTATTCGTTGATTATTCACAAAAGTATGAGCGTCCCTTGAGCATGGTGTCAGTGTGACGATATTTTCCGTGAAAGCTATAACGCAATGCCTTGGCATAACTGTAGGCCCACTGAGAGTCAAAGTTTGTGATTGCACGCCTTGTGGACCGAAGGGTCGTTCGGATCCAACTTCCGTCACGTTCGGTTGCAAACGATATCTGACACCAGCTCCGTTAGGAATATCGGTACCGTCTGGATTTAATTCTAATAGAAATGGTAATCTCTCGTCTTCGTATCTAAGAATTATAATGAAAAAACAAATACGTGAAGAACATTTTTTAAACAATTATAATAAATATCAATGATATTATTAAATGCAATACCTGTGATCTAACTCGTTCCATTTTCCAGAAGGTTTCTTTTTACGTTTACGAGGCACATAATCTGCCGGTCTCCTCCTCACGTGAAACATGATTGATCCTAAAGTCGAGACAACAACAACAAAAAAACACATAAATGAAAATAATTTGCATATTTATGTGTTTCTATTGATATGTTGTAAAACTTAAATTGAAATTTTCGTTAATAGTGATTATATAACTCGAATTATAAATTAGTATTAATTTAAATTACACTATTAATTATTATCATATATTTAATACTATATAAACTATATTATTAATAATAAATATTATAACTGTTATAAAAGTTATACTAAATTATTTAAATATATATATATATATATATATACAAAACATTAATTATCAAATACAAATTAATTTTATAAATACACCGTATAAGATAAGATAAAAGAAAAATCATTTCAATAATTACACACATCAAAAATATATGTATATATGTATATATGATTTCAAAGTAAACGCATATAAAATGTTAACGTAAAATGCACGAAGAAAAAGCGTTCGTTCCCCCTGTTCAATGAACATCGTTCTTCAGTTGCTATACTTGACCGGAGAAAAGGCGTATATCTCATCTCGTTCTACTAAAGAGGGGAAATCGTTCACATATATTTAGTCTTTTATCTCGGAATCCTTCTCTCGATGCATACAAGCCTTAGACTGGGCCGGTAAAAATAAAAAGAGAAAAGAAAGAAAATAATAATAATAATAAAAAGAAGAAGAAGTAGTAAAGTTAAGAACTGGCTATCAAAGTTCTACGTGAATCGAAAGAAAAACTGTAGAAGAACAAGATATTTAGCATAGTCATTGTAATACTTATTTTTTGATTATTATTATTATTATTATTATTATTATTATTCTACTTCTTTATTACATATGTATGAATATTATATAAACATGTCGAGGATGATGATCACGAAGGAACGTCCCAAAAGATCTCATATCCTACACGCTGCGCAAACTTCAATACAATTGTCTATTGTTTTAAACGATGGAAAAGAAGACGACGACAACAAGAAATAAAATGAGAACAAAATTGAGAAAGGGAGAGAAAGATGAAAGACAGTAAAAAAAAGAAAAAAGAAAAAGAAGTAGTAGTATACAATGAGACATCGGTTATCCGAATTAATTAAAGAGAAGGATGGGCAAGGGAAAGTAAGGGCAATGACGCGAAAATAAAGATGAATGGATGGGGGATACCCGAACCCAAGGAGTTGCCCATTCGAGCAAATTGCGAGAAATAAAATGAAGGAAAAGAAAGGCATTAGAAAAAAAAAAAAAGGAAAAAGAGAAATGATATTGAGACAAGAAATAACCCTCTCACCCTTTTTCCAAATCGAGAATATAATATATGGTATATCAAGTTTGAAAAATAAAATCTTCAAGGTTGAAAGAAGATTTTTTTTTTTATTCGAGATCTCTTGTTGTTCATATAATCACACAAATAAGAAAACTTACGTCTTATTCCCCAATCCATCATGTTGATTTCTTCGAATGGATACAACGTGTATGTAGATCGATAATAATTTGTGTTTTTTAATATCAATAAAAAATTAAATTATATATACATATAATTAGAAGAAAATTACGTGGTCCCTTCCGTTGATAATTTAAAAACAAAAATTACATGCAACTAAACGAATGAAAAAAAAAAAAAGAACAAACAAACAAACAAACAAAATCAGGTCCGTTGTAACTTGGTAGCAATCTCCATGAATATTTGGTCCCTTATTCTTCTCTTCTCTCGAGGTACCGTAGTCGTCATTTCCTCTCTCCTCGATTCATACTAAACGCCGGACGTTGACGACGAGTGTATATTACCAGTCTGACAGAGAGTGAGTAAGAGAGAGAGAGAGAGAGAGAGAGAGAGAGAGAGATAGATAAAAATAGGAAGAGAGAGGAAAGAAAGAAGAAGAGAGAGAGATATATAATGTATATGTGTATGTGTGTTTTTAAGACAGAGATAGAAACGGGTAGATAGATGTGGCTAAAAGCTGTTCAAGCATGCTCGAGGACTCATCATCACGAAACAACGACGAGTACGATGATGATAATAATGATGATGATGATGATGATGATGATGATGATGATGATGATGATGATGATGGTGATGATCTTGATCGTTCAATCGGTGATACTTCTTCTTTCTGACAATAACAATCCGTTGATCTATCCAACACTTCTTTGTTACCCCCTTACTTATCATCGTGTTGGGTTCAAAAAAAAAAGAAGGGGGATTAATATGATAAGAACGATCAAGAAGAAAATGTTGATTATTTTGTCTTAAAGGATTCCAGAATACACACAGGTAAGAAGAACCTTCTTTTTCATTGTGTTAGTCGTTGTTGTTGGC